ATTCGAGTTGTTTGGCTCTCCATTGGGTTGGTGTCAGCCTGTCAGTTTACGTACTTTTGAGTCTTTAACAGCTTGGGTATCCACCTTTTGTCCTCAGGATGAAGGACGGGGCTATTCGGTGGATGAATGACCGCATCATCTGTGGTCCAGCATTAGTCAGTGCCACGGGCCTTAGTTACTTTTCCCGATATTGGAGGACACCGCCACATTTACACATCAGAAGTGTGGCTGCCAGAAAGTGGCTGGTGCTCCTATTGCTGATATCAGCCAGGTATCTGCCTACTAACTAGTTAACTAGGTACAGCTCACCTTCTCCTACTTGCTAGCTGCTTCCAGGACAATTCTCTCCGCCCATCCATCCATAACTCCTCTAATTCCTGTCCATTCTCTCGCATTGGGGCTCTTGATCTTTGGCATACTTTGTTGTCTCTTGCGTTTGAATTGGTAAATTCTCCAAAGTATCGGTCGTTGTGTGGTAAGCAGCTTGTGGATCAAGAGGAGCGTCATCGACCGACATCCGCCATGGCGCTGGACAACTACTATCGCAATAAGATCGAGAGCATGAAGCTCGAGATTATCCAAGGCCAGGCTGTTTTACGTCGACTGGAAGCACAGCGCAACGACTATAATTCGCGAGTTCGTCTACTACGAGAGGAGTTGGGCTTGCTTCAACAACCTGGTTCTTATGTGGGAGAGGTCGTGAAGGTGATGAGCACGAAGAAGGTTCTTGTCAAGGTACATCCAGAAGGAAAATATGGTACGTTTTAGGCCCCGCCTTTACCTCGGGCTGTTGATCGAGGTGACATAGGTGAAATGCTAATTTTGAATCTGGTGCTGTAGTCGTCGATATTGCAGACGGGGTCGATATTACGAAACTTACTGTAGGCAAGCGCGTCGCGTTGCTTTCCGACTCTTATAAATTAGAGAAAATGTTGCCATCATCGGTTGACCCGTTGGTTTCGCTTATGATGGTCGAGAAGGTGCCTGACAGCACATACGATATGATCGGAGGCCTTGATCAACAAATCAAGGAGATCAAGGAAGTCATTGAGCTTGGTCTCAAGCACCCAGAGCTGTTCGAATCTCTTGGTATCGCGCAGCCCAAAGGTGTTCTTCTTTACGGGCCGCCCGGAACTGGTAAAACACTGCTCGCCCGAGCGGTAGCCCATCACACGGATTGCCGATTCATCAGGGTCAGCGGGTCGGAACTCGTTCAGAAATACATTGGTGAGGGTAGTCGCATGGTGCGCGAGCTGTTCGTCATGGCTCGAGAACACGCACCAAGCATTATCTTTATGGACGAGATTGACAGTATCGGTTCCAGCCGTATAGACTCGGCTGGCTCTGGAGATTCAGAAGTGCAGCGTACAATGTTGGAGCTGCTCAATCAGTTGGATGGGTTTGAGCCCACAAAAAACATCAAAATCATCATGGCTACGAACCGACTTGATATTCTGGATCCCGCTTTGTTGCGGCCCGGAAGAATTGACCGGAAGATCGAGTTTCCACCGCCATCGTAAGATTCAACCCTTCTTTTATCCAACCTCTTTTTTTCTACGAAGCTTTATGTTTGTGACTTACTGATTCATTTCTTCACGGTGATAGGGTGGAAGCTCGTGCCGATATTCTACGCATTCACTCACGGTCGATGAACCTGACGCGAGGCATCAACTTGACGAAGATTGCGGAGAAGATGAATGGATGCTCGGGAGCAGAACTGAAGGGTGTGTGCACCGAGGCAGGCATGTACGCGCTTCGGGAACGGCGAGTGCACGTCACACAAGAAGATTTTGACCTGGCCACTGCCAAGATTCTCAACAAACACGATGACAAGGAGGTTGCTGTCTCCAAACTGTTCAAGTAGAGGGCGCAAGAGCTCTTGGAAAGGGAGGGTGGAGCGGAAGTGGTTCAACTGCGGAAGCGCAACTCTCTGGTGACGGGCGAAGGACGACATGTAACAATAGTTCTACTTTCAGCATGATCCGCACCATTACTTTACGTCCTCCAGCGAATACATGGCATTTGCTGCTTCATGATGACTTGGGCTTTGCATATGTATATGGCCAGCTGCCCAGACAAAGGGGCGATTGAAGTGCATAACATTACACCAAGTCCGCGATTCCAGGGTGTATGTAGCCTGTAGATGGATATGGATCAAACGTCTAGCCGGCGGGTGTTGGGTTCTCATGCTCTCTGCTGTCGCAGTCTCGATGTAGCACTGGGGGAAAAGGGTTGAAGTCGATTTGTAACATTCCTACATCGACACGTAGATAGTGGTAGGTCGCACGGTAGTTCTTGGCGAGAAAGATGGTCCATATTCCGCCATACCTTGCGCATTCTTAAATAGATCGACGGAACATATTGTACAATCTACCAATATCCATCCCACAGCGTATGCGAGATTGCGAAGTGACTAGACACTCACTCGCCAGTCGTAGAGAGTCTCCCAAGAAATTTCCAGACTGATGAATGTCTTAATCTTCGAGGTTCAGGAATGCCCAGATGTCACTATTGGGAGACTATTGACCACCCATTAATGACTCGACGGACTTGGCAAGTATGGATGAAGGTATGAGGCCTACCCAGGCTCTGCCAAGCAAAGCAGCCAAGACTATGAAGGAGGATGAGAAAAGGATTTTGGTATGTTGTCCAAGTAAGGTAGTAAAAACTGCCTAGCCTACCACTCGGGTCTTATCTCCATCGACAATAATAACTTGATGGATCTAGCCGGTCCATAGGAATAGGGGCTACCTCTCTAGATATGTAGACTATCTACGGTATGTACTCTAATGCGACTCTGGGGAGTACGTAGATGATCTGCAAGGATCTTCGCTTGCTCGACGATCATTCTGCTTCCAGAGAAGTACCTCTCTAGTCTTCTACCTCGCCACATAGCTACAGGTAATTAGTTGAATAGCACAGTAAGAGAACGGCATCATGATGTAGGTAGCCTCCTCTATCCATGGATTTGAGGCTATATAACCAACAGTGAAGTTGAGCAAGTGCTTCTGATACTAAGTGTTCACTTAACCCAATACATATGGTATAGTATGTATACAGCCAGTTGACGCGTCGTTCAAACAGACATCTTTCTTGGGGAGTCTCTGTGGGATACGCGTGACTAGGAGTGGGTCCTCTTTCTGAAGGGTCTCGGCTTTGGTGGGGCACTCCAGATCTGATGACCTGTGCCGAAGTATTGTTGAAGTAAGATTACCTTACACTCTCCATACAACCTGCAATTTTAGATAGGAATCAGGTCATCATAATGGGTAATAATAATAATGCTAAGAAGAGCACAAAGGTATCAAATTGCTTATTCACAGTAAAAGGCTGACGGCTGCCCTTCTGGTTGACGGTTTCCTCATCCTTCATACCCACATACCTACCTCCGTGTCTTCTCTGTATGGCATCCTTCGTTTCGGGCGATTCGGTCTCTTCCAAGACAACAGTACTCCGAGTACAATGGATGCCTACCTACATGATACCTACCTTAGTATGTGAGTTCCGTAAATTCCACCCTTGTCCTCCAGTCCGTCCAATCCTAGGTCTCCTCGTGCGGCTGGCCTGTGCCTCCCCTTGCGCTGCTCGTTCCGCCGGTTTGGCCAAGTTAACAGAGATCAATTATCAGTCCATCCTGATTGTGGAGTTATCCACATGTGGCCAGGATCAACGAAGTCCGCGCCCTTCTCTGAATACTCCCAACCCATGATAGTTTGCTTCCCTTTGTTTCCTGATCGGTTGCCAGATCATCTGCGACTTCTCTAATACCTGTTCTAAGAGTCTTACACTCTCGCCGTTAGATTCTCCGGCACGGATAGAGCGGACTCTGTCTCCCTAGTCCCTGGTTTAGTCCCTCTCTGGCGGATGAGATTCCTCCGTAACTTAAGACTCTCCCAATTCTCCGCAGTGGGCTCACCCCTTTCGCTTTCATGGATGATGGAACTTCTTTCCATTTACTGTATCTAGATACTAGAATACTGACCTATTATTGGCACAGTAATGATCAGAAATCATAATAATATTTAAAAAAAATAAAAAAAAGAAAAAGAAAATAACCGACAATAATTCTTGGCTCATCTACAGATTTTATCCCGAAAGGTGAAGTGGCTCCTATCTCTGTCTCTTCTGTACAACATAATGCAATCAATAATCAAAATCCTATGTCCGTACCTCCGTGCCTTAAATGATACGATCTCTCTTAAATACCGAAGCATATAAAGGATCTTCTTCCGTCCCCTCTCTAGTAAACACAGTGCGTTCTTTACTTGTCAATCTAAGTGGCTACTCTATTTATCACTTGTCTATCCAGTCCGTTCCCTGCGCTCTTCAAGTCTTCCACCAGCCTTCTAGAAGAAAAAGCTCGCTTGTTATATGGTGGAGTCCCCGGACTTGCTCTTTTAGTCCTTCCGTATCTCGCTACTCCGTCCTCCGTATCCTCCGGACCATACAATTAAAGGTACCCAGGTATCTAAGGTACCTTAGTTAATGATTGAAGGAGTTAAAGGTAAGCGTTGATTCATCCGTCCGCTCCGTCATCCCCAACTGGGTGCTGCCTTTATTGTTCACCGGTATCATCTTTCGAAAGTGGCTGCATTCAATGTCGATTCTCATTCGATTTCGCAACGCCCCCGTCTTTTCTTTCCCCTTCTTTCAGAATGAACAACTTATTTTCTTACTACATGATCTGCATCGGTCATGGTCCCACACTAGTACTGACAGTACTACCGCTATCTTGTCTTTTGTATTATGTTACCATCATTAATTATCACATCAATGTGGTGGCCAATTTATCCGGGCTATACTTAATATTAATATACGTATACAGCATTCAAGCACACACATCATTGAACCTTTGGTATTATTTTACAATCGCCACTCCTCGCCTCCTTTTCATTTCGTCTTCCTTTCAACTGATCGATGTCGCTAAGGTCCTAGCCTGCTCTTAACACATCGGGTCTGTTTGCGCGCAACTTTGGCCGACCCCGGCTCAATCGTGTATGATGGCCGAAGGCGAACTGTGGTATTCATTAGTCACTGCCATCGATCCAGTTAACATCAAAGCCATGCCCGCTGTCCTACAATCAGCGATCAACCTACTCGAAAATGAGCTGTCCAAAGCCAGGGCCGCTCTCAAGGAAATCCAGCCCAATGCTGCTCCCAGGTTCACTGCTGGGGATGAGCTCGCCATTGGTGCCATCGCCGCCTATCGTCAGAATCTCATTGGGCGTGCCCCGGACTTCTACTACGGAACTCGACGATTGACCCCCAAGGAACTCGGCCTTGTTCCAGTCGTTCGGGAGGTGCAGGTAGCCTCCGAGGAAGAAGAGGTTCCCCAGGAGGAAAATCAGTGCTCTGTAACCGTGATTCCGTCGAAGCCAGCATCCCTCACCGATGTGCTGTCCAATAGCTTGATCCTCGATCATATGGCTCCCTATTTGTCGGTTTCGGGTCTGTTCTCATTGGCATCAACGTGCCGCACCCTCCGATCCGTGATCATGGAGACACCTTACGTCTTTCGGCATCTTGACCTAAGTCGATGTCGTGGGGCGCAGCTGCAGAGGAGTTCGACAGTTGACGGTAGGGCTCAAGCCTTGGGTAATGAACTCATGGACGAGTCTCTTACCGAGGACGAGTTCTACTCGGCTCCCTTAAAATTGATTTTCGCAAAACTCGAGCACAACTCGCTTTTACAGGACGTGCGTACCTTGGTCTTGGATGGGTTACCCGTTCCGGCGGACCTAGTAGCAGAGATTTTGCTGAGTGACCGCTTCAATGTGAACATCCTGTCTATCAGAGGGTGTCAACATTTGAACGAACGTAAACTCATGCAAGTCCTTCAATATGCCGTGCGTCCGACTCGTCCTGCCGGCACGCCCCGGGTGAAAGGAATCTATTTCTTCACGCCACCGAATCTGGCGCAAGCTGCAGCACGCAGCAGGTACCGCAACTGGTGGAGTTCAAGGTGTGCTGGTCAGACGCCGGGGGAGTGAGACCGCCATCGCGTCAACATGACCAGGCCCGTGAGACTTACCGGCAGAACGCCTGGTACTCACCGTCCGGCAAGTTACTGACCGCTAGCATCGAGGAAGGCTGGGCACAGACAATTCAGAAATGCCACGGCATCATCGCTTTTGACGCCGTGCTGTGCCGTGGGCCAAGACACGACCCCAGTGCTATGTTGGTTAGCCATGATGGGACTCAGCATGAAGGCCACTTGCTCGGTCCAGCGATTGCTACTGTTGCCCTCGGGTCTCGCGGATGTGACGGTTGTCACAGCTCTCCTGAGGGTCCAGCGATCTGGGGACAGTCCCCAGAGGAAACCTTTCCTCTGCTCACTCCGCCCCCATTCCACTCATCCTCTATTGTGGCGGCGAAGCGGCCTTCTCTTTTTCCAGGAGCGGAACGTCCTGCCCTGATTGCCCGCTGCGCAGATTGCCTTACCGATCGCTGGTGCCACCGTTGTAACAAATGGTTTTGCGCCGATTGCCTGCCGCATTCACAACGTGTGAGCTCTAACCTTTCGCCGCATCAGACTGCAATGAGAGCTTCTCTCAGCGGCAATGACCCGTCTCAGGTATGCAAGCTTGAATATGCGCATGTTCAGAGCCGAGGCGATACGGCAGTTTACTGACCAAGGATCCTAGAGACTGGAACGTGGAGTGAGCAAGGATTGCTGGGAATGTGGCCCTACTGTAAGCATTTCTCATGAACGAGCGGCAAACTGGGCGGTAGAAGAGAAAAGTCTCGAAGCTTTCAACTGACGGTATCTTCAGTGCGCCGCATGCAAACTTGATTGCCAACGAACGTGCCAACACTGCCAAGGACTATACTGCATTGAGCACAACGAGGGCTGCTCTTCGACAATGGTAAGTACTTGCAGTTGATTCCCAACGACAACCTGTGAGGCAAAGTTAATTGGAATGGTTCCAGTGTGACTGGTGCAACACCAGTTCGCGCCATCGGCTTAGGCAACTTTATTAGCACGTTTTCGAGAGATACCCGCGGATGTTGAGGTAGCTTTTCGAGGCCCCTATTGGCATTTTAACATGAACACTGTGACGACTGGTTATGACTATGATATGAATGTCGCGGGCGAAGTTTTTTGAATTGAATTTACAGCGGATTGAGCTTAGCCGGCTTGCTTCAACTCCATCAGTAACTAGATATCCCCTTGAATACTTTGAATCTCCCCTTCTCTCTCCTGTTTCAGGCTCTTATTTAATTTAATTTAATTTATTAATTAATTTATTAATTTTTTTTTTTTTTTTTTTTTTTTTTTTTTTTTTGTTTTTTGGCGAGGTGTGCTGTTCTTTGAATCTGTCTCCCATGGCAATCGAGTTCCGTTGAACAGGTCATTTGAACTTAACCCCCACTCTCCCCCTCTTTTTTGCTGTTTCTCTCAATTCTGCGTATTCTCCTCTTTTCTTCGCAATTCGAGACGAGACAGTCCACTCTTCCGTGCGTTGAGTTTGGGATTGAGTATCTTTCTTGTAGGCAACCAGCATGATGTCGTAATCAATACGGAGGGGCGAAATTTCCCCACGAGGGTGCATTGTTATTGATAAGCGGCTCGCATCTTCCAGAACGACCGCAACTGTTCGATAGCGGCGATGGATTTCAGCTGCATGCGCGCTGATGGGGCATAAGATGCCTCCCCACGGATTCCTTCTTTGTCGCCCCATTTTCGATAACATCCCGTGTCTGAATCATGGCTCGGGAGCAAGATTCATTACAGTGGTCATCCCAGTTCTTCATTGCTCCACCACAGCGCACACTTAAGTTACCTGGAGATAAGATTACCCTGCCACAATCGGCCCTCGAGCAGCTTCTGGCTGCTGCTCCGTTGAGCGACGTATCGCCTCAGGGTTCCTCGCGCCAATACACCAGTACCTTTGATCCGTTCAATCCTCACACATTCGCCGCCGAATCGCGAGCTCGAGCGCAGCATCTAGACCGCCAAAAGCAGTTGCCTCATCCTCTGACTTTCCGACTCGTGAACCCCAAAAATGATCGTGCAATATATGCAGGGATACGGGAGTTCTCAGCTGAAGAGGAAGAAGTGGGTCTCAGCGCTTTTCTACGACAGGCTCTTGACATCGAGGATGAGCCATTCCAATCACAAACCGGTGAACATGTGACAGAGACGGCGCAGTCTACGGATTTGAACAATGGAGGAAGATCAGAATCTGTTCGCTCGACCAGTCATTCAGCCCCCACAGTTACAGTCCATGCCAAGCAGTTGCCTAAAGGCACCTATGTGCGCCTACGCCCTCTCGAAGCTGGATACGACCCAGAGGACTGGAAAGCTTTGCTGGAGCGATATTTACGTGACAATTTCACCACTTTGACTACCGGGGAACTCCTTTCGGTGTCCGGGAATCGGAATGAACTGTTCAGATTTCTTGTCGACAAGGTGGAACCTGAAGGCGACGGCATTTGCGTCGTGGATACAGATCTGGTGGTTGATATTGTGGCTTTGACTGAAGACCAGGCAAGAGAGACATTGCACAGACGGTTAGAGAAAGCTTCTGGTGTTCCCGGCACCAAAAGAGGCAGCTCAATAGGCGGAGTTCTCGCCGTGGGAGAAACAGTCACTGGACAGGTGATCCCGGGCGAATACGTGGACTACGAACTCAGCAAATGGGATCGTGAGGAGATGATCGAAGTTGAACTCGAAGGAATGGATGATGCGGTTGTCTACTTGTTCGCGAGTCCGTTCTCCTCGCGTCAGCGCAATCGACCCAGGTTGGACGAGCATGTTTTCGCCGACTTCTCAAGCCAACCATCGAAAAAGCTTCGTATCCGGCCAACCAATGTCGAACTAGACGGGGCCGAGGCGCTGTATCTTTCGGTGCATGGGTATGCTCAAACCGAAGCTGGTGACGAGATGGCATCAAGCCAGACCTTGCCACTTCGTTATAGCATCCGGGTCATGCAAAACCCTTCAACTGTTCAACAGGTGGAACAGACGGGAGACCAGTTAGATACTCATGAACCCGGCGATGTGCAGTGTAAGAACTGTCATCAATGGGTGCCTCAGAGGACGCTTGTTCTGCACGAGAACTTTTGTTTGCGCAATAATGTGCTTTGCCCTCAGTGCAACAATGTCTTCCAGAAGCGCTCTCCAGAATGGGAAAATCATTGGCACTGCCCTCACGATTCGTCCCACGGTAATGATACTTCTAGCAAACATAGGCATGACGGTATGTTCCATACCAGGCGCTCATGTCCTGGTTGTGGATTCGAAGCCGACAGCCTCCCCAGCCTCGCTCAACATCGCACGACTGTATGTCCAGAGAAGCCAATTCTATGTCAATTCTGTCATCTTGTAGTACCGCAGCGAGGGGAGACAGACCCTGACATACTCGACCCTGAGGTGTTGTTGTCCGGTCTCACTCCGCATGAATTGGTTGACGGCGGCCGGACGACAGAATGCCATCTCTGCAACAAGATCATTCGACTCCGGGATATGAAGACGCACCTGCGCCACCATGATCTCGAGCGTCTCTCTCGACCGGCGCCCCGTATCTGTTTGAACCAGAATTGTGGCAGAACGCTCGATGCACGCGTAGTGCAGAGCACAATCACCCCAGGAACCGACACGCTAGGCCTCTGCAGTATCTGCTTCGGACCTCTTTACGTAGATACATACGATCCCGAAGGGAAATCACTTCGCCGCCGCATCGAGCGCCGATATCTCTCCCAGCTGATGTCAGGATGCGGGAAGCCCTGGTGTCAGAACGAGTACTGCAAGACAGGAAGGCAACACCGGCTATCGTCCAACACTGGCGATGGCGGGTCGACGTCGATGAGCGCCGCGCAAATCTTGACCTTAGTGCGACCCCTGGTAGACGCCATTAATCTCCGGAGGGACGCGCCGAACACTGCACCTTTCTACCTTTGCACCGATCAAGTCGGCCAGCAGCGACGAGTTCTGGCGGAGATGATTGCCGCCGAAGGAGCTATGACCGGAGGGAAGGCATATGATCTGCCATGGTGTGTTGCTGCTGTCGAAGCCACCGCTGGGGATCCTGACAAAGCACGAGAGTGGTTGACAAACTGGGCGCCTGCTAAAGACGAGGACAAACGTTCTATTAGATGATTTGACTCGATGTGCGTAGACCTGCGATCTAGGGTGTCATATGGATATAGAACCTAAGGGATGAACGCTTTGATGATATGATCATTCTACCTGAAACCTGTCTACCAATCTACTGTATTAATTCATGTCATTGCTTCTATGAAGAAAATAATGTAAGCTCGTTTACCGATTGGCTAAAAGATATTTATCATAAAGAATGGGGCTTCTTCATCCCCACAGAACAAGAATTTCGACAGAGAGAATACACGAGGCTAAAACAGATCATGCAGACATGGGTCCGGAGCGGCCGGCTAAGAAGTACGAACAATCTCGTAACGAAGAGTGATGCACTTCGCCCTCAAGCGGCGCCCGTTTTAGCGGCCAGAGTACCACTGCCTCGGGACGAGAAGATGCCCATGATGCCGAAGACGACATAGAACAGGGCAAGCGGGTAGGCCACCAAGCCTCTCATACCACGCATCCGGGCCACAGCGCAGAACATCCCTGAGGAACTATACGTGCACCAGCCGACCGCGGCCGTCGTTAACAAGTATCCGAATAGAGTATCCATCGGGATCAGAATCCCCACAAGACTGGTCAAAACCAGGGGCAGGAAGCAGTAACCGAGAACGCTGGCTGACCGGGGAAACGTCAAGGTGGCAGAGAAATGACCGACGGAGGAGGCGTCGGACATGGTAGGCTTGTGATGGGGGTCATAGTTAGACGGGTCTGCGGCATTGGGCGCCGACGCGGTATCGAGAGCGGGCGACATAAGACTAAGAATCAGGTGCAGGGCGACGGTACCGAAGACGGCGACACCGTAGATGTAGCCGTAGAAGACCTTGCCGGAGAGGAGGAGGAATGTCCCGTAGAGCACGATGTAAAGGAGAGCCCCGTACAGATCGCTGTCGTCCATCAGATGCTGATCAATGCGAGCAAAAGGATTGAGCACCGTCAAAGTCTGTAAGCGATCCAGAAAAGGAAATCAGCTTCTCTCCGTCTAAACATGAACACAAGGTCTTCCGGATATCAAGCCACTGGACAGTCCATTACCTACCTTGGTCCTGATATGCTCAAAGTTCACCCCCAGCTCCTCCAATAGCGGTGGCTCCCCTTCATAGCCCTCCGTGCCAAAGGCAGCCAGCCATCCTGTCCTTAATCCGCCCTGTTCACCCATCCTCCCACTCACGCCAGCCGCAGGGGACCCAAAGCCACCGTATCCGCCTCCGACCCCTCCAACGGGATATGCCTGAGCAGTGGAGCCTGAGGGCCCGCCAAATCCACCATAGGTAGCTTGCGACGGCGTCGTATGGCCTGAGACCGAGGTGTATGATGAAGGATAAAACTGGAGATTCTGCGGAGAGGCCTGCGACCCGTAGGGCTGTTGCTGGGGATAGTACTGGGCCATTGCGGCCAATATGTAGAGTAGTGAAGGCGATCAAGCGCTTGAACGGCACAGGAAGATTTGGAGGCTCGGATGTCTGTTGACTGCGATGGTGTCTAAGGAGTATGAAGACTGATTTTGTTTGAAGGGGTTCATAAATCGATCTGGAGCGGATGTTGCGGTTTGTACAGTACAGCTGTCGGCTGTGTGTTCAATAGCTCCCTTGCCTCCACTATGTGCTTAGTCAGGCGGCCCCCAGCTTCTCCATACGAAGAACTAGATCAGATCTGAACGCTGTAAAATTCTATTCAAATTGATGCAATAGTACATGGTTTCTACAGGAAGTTGATACCGATTCCGAGCTGCAGTCCCTTTCTGCCCTCCTCACCCTTCCGCAACACCAGTGGGAGCGAGAAGTTCAGCTCAAATCGCGCAACAGGGTGGGCGTACACGAGCCCAATGCCTGCCGCAACACTAGGCAGTCCATTTCCTAGCTCTGAAATCGTAGCAGCCATGGCGTCCTTCACTTCTGCGCTGTTTGTGGGAGCCTCCTTCTGCAAAGTGCGCAGGGGTAGCAGGCGGCCACCGTTCACAAACGCCTGCAGCCGCAGAGGCTTGTCCGCACCGACTCGAGGAAGAGGGAGGAGTAGATTTGCACTTCCCGCAGCATACACATCGCCTCCTACAGCATCGGCTCCATCGTGAGGACCAAGTCCACAGAGGCGGAAGCCGCGCACGTCTGTCGGGCCTCCTAGTACGAAGCGGTCATTGATGCGAGATAGCCGAGGTCGGGAATCAGAGTCCAGCCCCAAAGGATACAGAAGACCCGCACGGAAACCGGTTGTGAAGCTGATACCGCTGTCACCTTTGATTCCGGGAATTGGAATGGGAATTGCTCCCTGGGCTTCGACCTCCGATTTCCAGAACGAGACATCTCCCTTCAGGGGACCCCATCCGGCCAATTCGTTGAAGGCCTTGGCGTAGTAACCACGGGATGGAAGGAGAGGATTATCTCTTCGATCGGCGATCCAGCTGTGGAAAATACTGCTCTTTACACTGTCCCCTGCATCAGCCCGGACCGTGGGCGAGGCGTTCTCAGCCAGTCCAGTAATCTGTCTCCAGAAGCCATTGTATCCGATCTCATGGCGATGACCGGATTGGCTGAGCCAGCGGAGCTTACTCCAGCCACCCTTCAGTACTTCTTCATGATTCGCCCATGACTTTTGCGTTGAACTCGCAATACCACCAAGTTCGAAGCGGAAATCCGGATCGCTAAGAATGGGGGTTTCGAAAGCAGCTTGATAGGCAGACCTCGTCCTAGTGCCCATAGAAGCATTCAGGTTGAGAGTTTCTGCACCACCAAAAACATTGCGCCAGAGGAGATTTCCATAGGCCGAGCCTTCAGTGTTTCCAAGATCAGTTCCTGTCTTCAGGAGTACACGGGACTTTTCCTTAACAGAGAAAAAGACATCGATGTTGGGTATTCCATTTTGCGAGTTCGCATCTTGTGACTGGTCGATATACACTGAAATCGGTTGCTGAAAGATGTCTGTGAGCATATCAGGAACTGTCCAATACACTATTTCATATCAAAGTGACAAACCGAATTTCCCGAGCTTGTCGGCACGAGACGAGATCTCTCGCAACGCCTCAGAGAGAGTATAGGGCCGCGATTGATTGACGCTTAAAAGTGGGTCGAATATAGATTGCAGGAACCTTCTGCGTGTATGAGTCGCATTAAGCACTTGGACCGATGATATGGCACATGGAAGAGTTGAGTTCTGGTCAATCTAGTGTTATGTAGAGGTTCGTCAGTAAACCAGGTATTCGGCCTGCGTTCATTGCAGGTTGAATCGCATAAAATAACAGACAATTAGCGCATACCAGCTCTCCAAGACGCATCTGCGCCTTTTGGTAGATAGCATGGACTCGTTCGTTGATGGCCTGCTGCTGCTCTTCAAGTACTTTCGGGTCGGCTCGCTGTTGGAGACGCTCAAAGATCTACATGATGAAATGGCACGCGAGCGTCAGTTAATACTCTTATACAGATGGGCTTGAACATTTCCGATGGTTCCACATACGTCTTCATCTTCAGCGGAGAGTGGTGAGGACATTGCTGCGGCTGCAATGGCCAAAAGACCTCGTACAGTCCTTTTCGGTTGTCTTCGAGATGCTCCCGGCTGCGAGAATGAAGCCATAAACCTCACGTGACCGATAACCGCCCCTCGGACTGCAAGCGCATACATCAGCGACACTCCGCAGAATCCATCATACAGGCAACAGACGCTATTTATTCTACCTTCCTATTCTCTCTTTCAAATCGTTTGATTTTCTTGGTCTTAATTTTAATACCTTCAGCTCACTTTGCTGTATTTGGCGTTGTTGTATCTGGAGCCGAACCTGTCCCTCGACTTTATCAAGCCCTGAAAGTGACGGAGATCGTTGCATCAAACCACTCAAAGATGGCGACGAAAGCAGCGTACAAGCGAGTTCGTTCATCTAAAACACAGTATATACCTTTGAATTTGCTCTGACCATTTCCAGCTCACCCGCGAGTATCAAAACATTCAAAAGAATCCCCCGCCATACATTGTGGCGCATCCATCGGAGTCCAACATTCTCGAGTAAGTCTTCCCTGTTCCCATCTTCTCCTTAATACGTGAAAATAAGTGACTAAAAGGAGACTAGATGGCATTATATTCTCACTGGTCCTCCCGGAACACCTTACGAGAATGGTCAATACTGGGGCACATTGATGTTTCCTCCCGAGTACCCATTTGCGCCCCCGGCAATCCGTATGCACACTCCAAGTGGCCGGTTCCAACCGTCGTCTCGACTGTGCCTCAGCATCAGTGACTTTCATCCCAAATCCTTTAATCCAGCCTGGGAGGTTTCCACCATTTTGATCGGGCTGCTATCCTTCATGACTAGTGAAGAAATGACCACCGGTAGTGTCAGTGCTTCGGAGGCGGAACGGAGAGTATTGGCTGCGCGCTCAAGGTGGTGGAACTCTACAGGTGGAGGTTCTCACATCAGCGCAACCCCAGGAGTGACTCCCACGGCGAGGGGAATCAACAACGTGAAGGCTGGAGATGGCGGCTTCAAGTTCCGCAGCGAATGGCCAGAGCTGGATCAAGAGAATTGGCAATGGATGAGAGAAAACCGCATTGATACGAACACTGGGCAACTGATACCCGACCCTAACTCCTCAGTCACAAAGTGCTCTCCAGAGACAAGCGCACTCCGCAGGCGTCCAAACGCAAGCGCGCCTGGACTCGGCGCGGTAATGGAGGGTGGCCAGGTCGCACGAGAAGCAGGTCAGAGCTGGGCTCGTCGAAACAAGATCTGGATTGGTTTCGCCCTCATATTCGGCTACGCACTTCTTACCAGGCTGGTCAACGATGTTCAAGGTTGAGCTTTCCGAAATTTGTTTCTTTTTCACACCAATACACCGCTATTTTCCTCGAGCGGTCCTGAGAGAGCATCGTGAGTCTTTGACATCGGTTCAGCGAAGGAGACAGCTAGCGACTAGGCCCCTCTTTTTGTCAGATTTTCCTTTGTTTCATTGTGGCTTTATTCCCAGCTTCGTAATGGTGCCGTTATCTCCATTCTTTATTTCATTTCTGGGCGACTGACAACATTGCACGATAGTTCTGCAGCTATTGGGATTGCGTTCTGCAGGTTTGTCGGTTTTACATGATCTCTGAGGCGTTCTAGACAAGGCATGGCGTCCGGGGCTCTGATGATGGTCAAATTTGCCTGTCAACAATGTACTTCAATCAAAGTGTGAATAGCAAGAACTGAACCTTCGTTCCATTTGTCCGTAGTCATTGGGGAAGAGAATACTCTAGTTAGTTGATCTCGTCCATATGGAGGGGGGGGCCTTGAGCTTATTGTGAAAACAGTGACTGGGTGATAAAGCCACTTGGTTGAGGTTACACGAATGGGGCAGCGTAAACACGATGTAGATACGATTAGAAATGAGGATGACATCTATCTAGAAAGAGATGGGAGCAGGATTCAGTGGGACTGTGTAGAATAGGTCAAGATTCGTCTATTGATAGAAAAGGAGGAGGATAGCAGCTCCTCCGCAATCCCCGCAATGCAACAACGGCAAAGTTTATGATGGTCAACCAAAGTTTGGAACAAGGCGAATCCGTACGAAAGATCGACAATTATAGGAAGAGATGCATCATGCCAAAGTTCATGCCGAGCAAGAGAAAGTTACACTACAGAGTAATAATTATAGAAGATATACTAGATATAGAATAGTGATGATGGAAGTACCTCTCTAGTCCACTTATCTTACTCCTATGTATGGTAGATCCCTTCTCATTATTTGTATCCACTCACACTCTTTGTTGCAACTTTCATCCATCATGAATCGTTCGTGGTCTCTTCATCTCACCTTCAACCCATTCTTGTCATTATTATTATTATTCTGTATCATGATATGATCATCATACAGTACTCACACACGTGTTCATGTGTTGTGGGAGTGCACAGGTGCTAACGACATATACACTGTGCCCCAATAAGATCGATCTTCCATCTCACAGATTACTTCGTCCCCGAGTAGCCATACTAACACTTGCTGCATGGCCGCTGCTCGTCTCCCTGTGTCGGAGTTGCACTTGCAGATTCCTGGGGTAGTAGTTTGATAATTTGACCTTCACTCCTACTCCTTTAAGATTCTTTTGTGAGGCCCTCTCCAACGCCGGCCCGGCAATGGACCGTCATCATGAGGTTCAGGGGGTGCCCAACCTTCATGAATCCAAAGGTTCGTTCTATTCTGTCGTCTGCAGTGTCCACCATACGATGTTTTGACATCGCGCATTAAATTCGATTCCCTTCAGCTCTCTACTCTTCTCGTATCTCTTCTTTCATCTGCTTAACAGCTTGCAACTGTCTTGTATACAAAATTGAAGCTGGTATAATACTATTCTGAGCGGTCCTCTAAACAAGCAATGTTGCACTGCCTGGCGATTACTGTGTGCCTGAGCCAGAGGGCTCGAGATGTCGATGACGCTTTTCCTTGATTAATTCCGCGATCTATGAAATTCTTTGTTTCTGTGCAACGGATCTATTGCTACTTCACTGGCATACCCAGCTTTTGACCAATATGCCTATCAATCGGGTGTCACACACTACAGGACAGCATTTTGATGTCAGATTAAGTCAAATCGAATAGTCCGCTTGCTTACTACGAATCGTCCAGCATCGAACCCCATCCATCCTGCTGCGATTGACCGCCCAATGTACACCTTCATCGACCATGACGATGATCTGAGCTCCAAGAGAATCAAAGACGCCAATGCGCGCAAAGCCATTCGCTCTCATGTTATGCGTGACGTGCGCAGGCGAGAGCGACTTGCTGGCTTGAAGAGAATCCCAAAGCGAGAATCCCGTCTAAAACAAACTTTACCACTTTCTGCGTCGATTTCACCGCAGGCGGAAAGCTCCACGTCCGAGTATCTGTTGGAAGCAGGGGTGGCTTCTCCATTGCCCGCGTCTTCCTCGTTCGCAGACTCCAACCCTGCCTGTAGACTTCTTAGATCCCCACAAGAACGACGGCGACCGATAGTATGGAGAGCTGGTTATTCAGTGCCACCGACCCCTTCCCCCAACCCTCTGGCTTTTCCACCGTCCTGGCTTCTTGATCCATTCGGTTCACTGCCGGGTGCTGGTGAGGTCCCATCCAGGGTTGCTCGTCTCGTGTTCTATTGTGAGTGTTCTGGTCTCTTACCTTCACTACACTGTGGCAGCAACTGCCGCGCGAAGTTGTCTGGTGTTGGCACGGCAGAGCTTCTTGCAATAGCTGCAATTGGGAGGAATTCTTGAGATACGTTCCCCTGGCACCTGGCTAACGTTTATCGTCGAGAAGGGAAGTCTGTCTTTGTTCCAATGACGTTTCCGGAGGAGCATAAGATCAACGAGCAGGTGGAGACTGGATTGATGGTCAAATCGTCGTTCTCGGATCCAGGAAGTTTTTTTGGTCTGATGGCTATGTGTGCGGCTCATCGGGCTGTATTGGCCGGATATCACATCGATTGCTCCCGCGCACCGGACAGTTCTCGCCCAACCGGCCACGACGCAGATTACTATTTTATGAAAGCCAGATGCATGCAAGAGATGAACGCTAAAATGTGTGATTCTAATCGTGCACTGAGCGATGAATCATTTGATACAATGGTCAATCTACTGACAAGTACAGTAAGGGCCACCTTCTCGATCTAGCTACTCCTTCCGGTCTTGCACTAGGCGCCGATATTTCGATGTCGAGTCTTTTTTCTAATCCTCCGCAGCTGATCATAGGAATGTTCGACGAAGCTCGAATACATCTAGCAGGCTTGAAACGCATGGTGGAGTTGCGGGGAGGCCTCATGGCAGATAGCATCCACCAACCTTCGATGCTAGCAGCCATCATCACGTATGTAGTGGCATCCCCAAATATTCAGAGGATCGTGTTAAGCATGGAATTAGGTCCGATGTGAAAGCGGCGTCGGGTCTCATGACCAAGCCATTGTTCCCTCTTCCCTGGGATCCTCGACCGGTTCTGTCTAGTGTCCAACAACGGATTAGACCACCGGCTGCGTCGGTATTAGCGAGGCTGGGTGCAGCCTTCTTTGCCAATAACATCCTCAGTCTTCCTCTACTGAGAATCTTAGATGTGATGCGTGATATAGTTCTTTACAGTCAGGCCTACAGGGAGAGACCCGCCTCTCTTTATCCTGAGGACCACGAGCTTTTTCGCGTGGTAAATTGCGAGACCGAACACCGGCTCCTTTCTTATATATACACCGATGGCCATCAAGGCTCACCTTTTGGAACACAATTGGACATCAGTCCTATTGAAGCGGTCACCAGAGTCGCCTGTATCTGCTTTCTCAATCAGTTTCTGATAGTATCACCGCCATCGAGTGGGCTAGGTCGCGCCTTGACTAAGCACTTGAAAGCATCTATGAGCAGCTGTTCACTATCCTTAGGTCCAAAGTCTGCCAAGGCCATATACGGACTACTCGCGTGGGTATTATTCATCGGGGCTCAAGGTTCAGCCGGACAGGTGGAACATTCCTGGTTCATTGACCGGCTTGCTCGGTTGGCCATGCTTCGGGGCTGGCAGAAATGGGAACAGGTAGCGGACGTTTTGGCTGACTATTTCTATCTACCTGATTTTCACGGAGCAATCTGGGAATCAGCCTGGGAGGAGACTGTAACCGGGCTCCTTTCGGAACGATGTATCGGGGTGTGCTCCAACTCATCACTACGGGACTGATCTGCTTTAGTGAGTCGAAAGTCATGCTATGTGAGGAATACCACCCGAGGTTTCCAGGGCAGAATTTGTATACCCAGAACCATTTATTTGGTGTAACATTCCAGGTAGCAAAGCGTACTCCGGAGTATATACAAAGTTATCAAAGCCATAAAATCCAAGCTATAATGATTTCGACCTCTAAGCATGCCCTAGTGAGAGGTCAGAAGTATTTTTTCAGGTGAATTGAATCAGAAGCGGAAATTAATAGCAAATAATCGCCGATGCCATAGTGGATAAATGCACAGCTATGTACGGAGTACCTCATCCATCACTCATCCTCTCTTGCATATGCCATCAACATGATTGGCTCCTTTACGTCACGTGATAGACTATGATAAGGTTACGGACCGGATTTATCCGAAGATCTATTTCTTGCCGGAGATTATTATTATGTCATCTGCCTGAAAGTTTTTGGATGTTAACAGTAGGAAATATAGTCCATTGATTCATCCGCGCTTCAACCCTCGAACGAATTTGAACTTATTCCTTCACCTTCGATACCTTCTTCTTTGCTATTATACTGTAATAGTCTCTTCAATATGGGTTGGTTTTGGGCAGATCCGCAGGTAAAGCCAACGCCTGTGGCACCAAATCCTCTGGCGTCCTCTGATGCGTCCCCTCCAGTTAGTACAAGATCCTGTTGGCATATCTCCCAGAAACAGTTTAATTGACTTCGTGCAGCCAGGATGTCCCATGCATGCTTCCAACGCTCCTCCAGCCTTGTCTTCGCCGTCTGCTCGGTCTGATACTTCCAGCTCCTGCCCTGTTCGGTCCTCAGACTCTCCATTCTATGTGCAGCCGAAAACTACCGTGACGGACTCTCCTCGGCCTCCCGCTCCCGAAACCAGATCGACTTTGTCAAAACTGAATCCTCTTAACTACATGTTCTCCTCGATTTCTCAAGAGCGAGCACCGAATCAGACCGTAGAACTGCCGGTGGAACGAGAGCCTTCCTCCATACCTAGAGGCGATGCAGACGGCAACTGGGAGTACCCGTCCCCCCAGCAAATGTACAACGCTATGCTCCGTAAAGGTTACACGGACACGCCACAGGATGCTGTCGAAGCCATGGTAGCGGTCCACAATTTCCTGAATGAAGGTGCCTGGGCTGAAATAGTTGGATGGGAGCGCCTCTTTGCTAAGGGCCTGGGACAAGCGTGGGAAAAGTGCCGAAAGGGAGAGCAAGGCATTGCCCTAGAAGCAATGAAGCAGGAGATGTCCGGAAATGTCGATCCAGCCAGTGAACCTCGACTCCTCAGGTTCAAGGGTCGGCCACAAGAGCTTACCCCCAAGGCGCAGATCCTTCAAGCTCTAGGTTGGCTGTATCCTGCCAAGTTTGGGTGAGTTGACGTGATTTCCATTGACGTTGAGATTGTGCTTACACAGATATTCTACAGAACAAATCCACCTTTTGATCGCCATGATTGGTTTGTGCTCCGACAGACGCCATCTGGGCCCAAAGAAGTCCGCTACGTGATTGATTATTATTCCGGCCCCCCGAGCCGACTGGTGAGCCAGTGTTCTATCTCGACATCAGACCAGCCTTGGACACCCCAACAGCGGCCGTTGAGCGTCTAATGAGATGGGGCGGCGACGTCTGGTACAGAGCTAGCGGCGCTGCCGTGCGAGAGAACAATAATTCATAATAACACGCTCTGCGGCCAACACGCGAAAGCGTACGTTTGGACGAACCGACATATTTCTTATGGAGAATGCATACTTGAGAGCGCGGGCGACTCTGACAGTTGGACGAAACATTCAATTCTCGACATCACTTCTTTTGCTGTTGTTCATCTCTTCGCTTCACGTGCACATGCTTGACTTTGTGTTCCTGCTTTATACAAACAATTGGTAATGGAGTTTAGTGGTATCCTGTCTTGTTTGAGTATGGGCTCATTGTGCTTTTCACTGTTTTTTTCTCCATCTCCTCTCACCGGTCTCTAGGGCATTGTACTATAGCAATATTAATGTATCGCAAGAGCATGTATAAACAGTCACCTCCAATTTACCGAGCACAAAATCTCAAGGAGCTATGATCTTCTTTTCTGATCGCAGGCAAGTATGCATGGTTAGGATGTCTATTTAACTAGGTCGTTAATTTGTTCATCAAGTCAATGTACATATTACGAGCCAAACCACAATCAAGAGTAGTACGGCGAAGAATCTTTATATGACAGGAGCAGGGTTGCATGTATATCGCTGGGTTTTGGAAATCGATCGAGAAAGGCTCTCATTCTTGACGACCAGAGACAGCTCTCGAGGTTGCTGCGGTCGAGTGGCTGCTGGCTTCTAAAAACCTCAAGAACTGACCCTGAAGTGTCAATCATTGCAGCGTTTGCATCGTATAATTGCCGCAGTACCCGCAGACTCTAGAAAAGTAAACGTTACCTTGAACTCCGGCCTTGTAAGTAGAGACACAATTCCAGATGAGTGGTGAGGGGCTGTATTTCGCCGTCTGTTAAATGTTTGGAGACAACAGGTCATATTTCACACACTGCTCCACACTCTCAATGCTAGCCTGGAGGAGGCCACGCGCTTCGAGACCAACCCAGACACGGAGCATGGAAGTATCGCCCGAACGGACGGAGCTAAGAAGGGTCGCACCGGACCCAAGCTGCCGCAAGATCGGTAGAGCACTAATTGAATTAGCCGTGGATTGTGGAATAGTTGGGCCGAGAAGACCCCTGATATCAACAGAGAGACAAGATTATCAGCATACCTCTTGAAGAGATCCAGGCCTGGATCCAGACTTCGACCGATGCCTTCGAGAAGAAGGATAGAGATGACCACATTGACAAAATCGCCCTCGAGCCGAACGTGATGGCTTCGGACCATGGATAGTACCTCGCTCAGCACGTCCCCAATTTTGATGTTGCCCAATGCGAATGTCCGTGATTTAATGTTGTAGACCAGGTGCTCCATTTTCAGCGCGAAGACTTCAGCGTCGATGACTTCTTCCGGCTGACGGCACCGCTCAACCATCAATTGGCCCGCTCTGAACCCGTCAAACTCGGCTACCGCTCGGAACAGGTCGAGGAAGTTTCTCCGGTTGCTCTCGTTGAGCTGGGTCACCAGGCCAGTGTCGATAAAAATGAGCTGGGGGCGATAGCCCTCAGCATTCAGCTGGGACAGAGCAGCGTTCCAGGCCTCCCGATCATGGGCGTGCGGCCTCAATCGGGCCAGTACAGTCTCGGTCACATCAGCTTCGGCGGCGGTTGGCGCATCTGAAACCCGACTGCGCTTGCCGAGTGATAAGTCCAATTCAGCCGGTTGATAAAATCGGACCATTATATTCCCCGGGTGCAAATCAGCGTGAACAAAGTTGTCGATCAGAAGCATATGAAGGAACGCGTCCAGACCCTCGTTTGCAATCTCTTGCTGGTAAACACCCCCTCCAACGCCCAAGAAAGTCTCCAAGGGGATCCCTTGGGCGAATTCTTCGACAAGTACTTCACGCGTGGTATACTCCAAGTATGGGTAGGGAAACCAAGCGGTAGTTCGTGATTTGAATTTCTGGCGAAAGATCACAAGGTTGGATGCCTCGATTCTGAGGTCCAGTTGTAGTTTCATCATCTCACCAAACTGCTGTACTTCATCCGGCAAGGACAACCAGTGCATTGTGGGGATGGCATTAATCAACGATGCGAAGAAAGACATGATTCGCAAATCCCTTCGGATCACGCGCTCAACCTTTGGATGGAGCACTTTAATGGCCACGTACGAGGACGGAACCCGTCGCGGCGAACTCTTTACCAGCACGTCGACATTCTTTCTTACCTTTCCGCGGAAGCTTCTGTCCTCAAGTGTCAGAGCCTGATCGTCCATCACAGCCAGGCTCGGCTTGAGCTTTGCCTTGTATACTTGAGCGATAGCCCCAACTCCTAGCGGTTCCTCGTAGAACTCCTCAAAAATCTCCTCGAATGGTAGACCATTGAAAGCCTTGCTTATCGTCTTTTTAGTCTGATGCAACGAATGCGCAGGAGCATGAGAATGTAGTGAAGACATAATGTTGCACATTTCCGGCGGAAAGATATCGCTGCGTGATGCAGCCCATTGTCCGAGCTATCGGGAAGGAATGGTAGTCAGTACGTGCATGGTAGCCAACTAACTCATGTACGATGGGCGCTCACCTTGATGAACGCTGGGCCAGCACGCTCCATTGACCTGACTAAATAGCCGTACCACCAAACGGCTCCTGCCCGCTCCCCCTTTCCATCGTCGAGCCGTCGTCCAAACCATATAGCGGGCACAGTAATGATGACAGGAATGAAAACAATCGCCAAATGGACGAACCGAAAGCCGGTAGCGATTGGGTCGTATATGTAGCAGTACCAAAACACAAAGAGCTCTTGACAAAGTTTCGTCAAGCCTCGCGCATCCTCGGAGACACTTTTTCGAATCTCTTGACGCGAAACTTCTAGCATCTGCATCTCCCCAGTCTTGTCATGACCATCTCCATTCTCCGCCAACTCTAAGAAGGCGCCCGGCGTCAGTGCCGCAAACAGTACCGTTCTTCCCACGGGCGCCTTCCTGTGAAATGACCTCCACGGACCTGGAGGCCATGGCGTATGTTTTGAGCGGAATCGAAATGGCGTTGCAAAGCGGGTTAGTAGTTGCGGACTTCCACCACCTCGGCACCAAAAGAAACGGCCAAAGAGGGTGGCCGTCCTCATATTATCATGCAAGGGCAAGCCTTTTGGGACCCAGGAAAGTCATCGAGGAGTTGATCAAGGCTTCTGCGTGAACCTGAAGGCCGCCATGAGAAGATTGATGTGATAATGCCTTGGTGGAGGACCGGAGAGAAGAGACCAACCCGAGGCCGGCGATGCACGTGTCTCGACGTCATCGGCAGCATCGGATCAGGAACATTTCCTCCTCTTCCATCGTCATGATGATTGATGAGATAGAACCAGAGGTAGTCTGATGGCTATTTTATTCTTATCTCTCTGAGAGGTAGATCGGTTTCATATTACGGTCGGTCTGTTGAATTAATTATCTAAGATGACTAGTTCTTCGATTGGTCACATTCCACAATCCAGGCGCTTCCAGCCACCAACCTCCAGAATACCACCATTATTACCTGTTCCGGCGCAGGCTGTCTCTTGCTGTTCCTGTAGATATTGATTAGTCAAGACGAAACTGAGCTCACTCACTCACCGACTCTTTCGGTCTCTGTACTGCGATGGCCGGAAACAGCAATGTTCTCACACTCCACTATAGCTGACCATTCGGTCCGTCATGCCTTAAGTATCTAGGCGAGTACCTAGGCGGAGACATTGGTCTTCAGGCATGAAACTTCCCCTGCTTGATCCTGTTGAATGCACTTGAGGCACGGCCATGCCAGTTCAGTATGAGTCGCCTCGAAAAGCTCGACGACGTAGAATCGCAAAACGAGGATGCCTCAAGAGACCTGACATGGTCCACTATACTGAAATGGGGTGCCATCACCTATACCAGCATGCTAATTGTGTTCATCAGCGTATGCAGCTGTTATCCTTCCCTCATTGAAGTAGGGCTGCTTTCACTGCTATCCCACAGACGCTCCTCCGGCCCCTTTCTTGCGTATTCCCACGATGTTGGTCCTTTTGAGAAACCGGCGGGGTTTGACATCGTTGCACTGGTACCCTACAAGCATCATGAGCAGACGTCTGTTTTGGACTGTTATCTGCAGGTATTGTTGGATCTTCTCCTGTGGTGACGAACTGGTTGAACTGATCAGTCTAGAAAAATCTTGTCAACAATCATGGGTTCCTAGACAAAGTGATTTTTATTCCGCAGTCGAATGATACAGCGAGTCTCGAATGGCTGGCCTCGATCGTCCAAGAGACGTCCGCCTACAGCATTTGGACATCACCGGCTGACATTTACCGGGAAACGAATAGTCGTACGCTGTTCGTCTGGCTGGACGGCGATATCGTCTTTCTGGAAGACCACACCATTCCAACCATTGTCAGAACAATGCTCGACAATTCGGATTCATTAGTGGTCTCCGCAAATGTCATCAACCAGGCAGCTCTTGAGGCACTTCACAGTCATTCTGGGGTTGTTTTGCCCTACCTCCCAGAACTTCATCAGGCTTCGGCAGCTGCGCAACTACCACCTGCAGCAGACCTGGATTGGCGTACTTCAAATCTTCCAGCGTGGACCGGACCAAAAGATTTCCGAGTCCTAAAAGGATTCGCTCCGCCCGGCAACAAGCATCGCTGGCTCCTTTCAGATGATGAACAGGTCGACCGGACTCCGATCAGCACATCCATGTATACCACTGATGGACCGGGCTTTACTGATTGGACTGTCAAAGCTCAACAGCATTACTCGTTCCTGCATCACCTTGAATTGGACGAACTTTACCGATACAAGTTCCCCAAGTGGAGCAATCCTGCAGATATCAGCCCGAATCTTCTGTGCTTCTGGGATGCTGATGCGAATGCGTTGCAGTCCAGCATCCTGCACGGTAGTTCGTACCTACCATTCGGATCCGTCGAGAATGCGACTAATCCCACAAAACGCATCATTATCGATGGCAAAGGGTTGGCGGCACATTACTCGGCGGACGCAGGCGCCGAGGATCTGGACTCTACTGATATTCTTCAACGGTACGGGGCCTACGCGAAAGAAATGATTTGTCCAAATGTTTCCTGAGGTCTATCTGCTAAGCAACTCGTGTACCGGAGTAATGGATCGGTCACGCATCATTGATTGTCATGTCATCTATACAGACTTGATATAAGATAGTTATACCTTGTTTATAGACTTAATTCTCTTCCAAAACAGATAAACGACGCCAACCGTCAGGTCTAACCAGCACGGTCTAAGATTTGGCATGTAAACACGAATTGCTAGTCTTTATAGCCATATATATCTAGAAACTGCTTCCATGTTGAAGACAGGAGAGGTAAGGGACAGAGTCTCAATTCAGTCTTGTCCCTTGCAGATGCTGTGAGACATGGCTATGCATGAGCCTCTCCAACGTGGCTCTCTGAGAAGCTGGGAGTGAATTAGTCTGCAGAGAGTTCGACATTAGTAGATGCTTGCAGATATTAGAGAAGAGCACTGCTTCTGACTTACATCACTTTTCAGCAGCTCTTGAATAAGGACGACGATATTATCGCGATCCTTGGCTGCCTTCGATTTGTCCGCTTCATCCGCCGAGTCGGAAACAGGCGTGTTCATTGTCTCTTCCAATAACGGGTAAAAGTCCAGCTTCTGCAGGCAGTCGATAACGGCAGCGGTGCCATGTTTGCTTGAACCCATCAAAGCCAAGGCGAACCAGCCCTCGCTCCTGACCACAGGCCATTGCGATTGAGCAATCATAGCACCAACTGGAAGCGCAACGCCCTTGTGCATGGTGAACAGACGCTCAAGGAGAGTGCTAGCCTCGCTGTCCGCTTCGCCAGACTTTGGAACAATTGTGCGGCAAATGGAAGCTACGATCCGTCCGACCTCCGTTTTGATGGGTGTGGAGTCTGTTTTCTCACACAGAGAGAGTAACGATGAAAGATATGTCTGTCCGGAGGTTAAGGAGTCCTCGTCGATAGGAGCAAAGTCCAGCAGACGCGATATGTTCGCGGTCGATGAGATGATAACTTGCCGAACAATGCTTGTTGCAGCAAATTGGACTTGAGGAACCGTCTCATATCCCCACAGGCGCGAGACTGCGGGAATGATCCCAGCATCGCCCAGACATTGTCGGTTATCGCCAGCTATAGCCAAGTTCTTTAGAATTCCAAGTGCGGAATGGAGAACTGCGCCTCTAGCATCAGATTTCAGAATTGATATCAACGTAGTGTGTATGTTCATCTTCCGCACCATCGCTTCGCACACCTCGTCTGATCGAGCCAAGTTGCCCAGCATCACACATGAACAGATTTGAAGTTGGTCTTCCGTGGAAGCCAGCCAATCTTTCAAGGTCTGAACAAGAGGAGACCCAAGGGGATATACCTCGGAGAATTTGGGTGATGCAGAGACTTCTGAAAGTGTTTGGTTGATCTTCAGCTGCAGCTGCGCCAATGCTTTGGTATCGCCAGTTGACGAAGGGTCTGCTTTGATATATAATGACTGTTTGAGGACAGACAACACTCGTTCAACCATACATTGACCGATACAAATATCCTGGAATCGTTCCTTGTCTAAATAGGTCATAAGAGAATTAGCAAGGCATACGAATTGAGAGAGAGCAACTCCATCTTCAGACAAAAGATCCAAGAGAAGTAGAATTGTTCCTCCTGGCGATTCTCGGATTCCTTGTTCTGCCATCGGTTTTGTTAGCATAAAACGAGGCTATGACAGGGTAGACCTTACCTTGCTCTGCGAGCAGCTCTATGAGTTCGTAAGAGAAGTCAAGAAGCGCCTCATTATCTTCGAGCACGCCATCCTTGATTAGTCTCAAAAGGATATATACTAGTTTGTTCGCAGCCAGTTGACTCTGGGCTGGTTCTGTTGAACGTTAGAACCCAATGCCTAATATTGGAAGATATACCGACCATAATCGATGCAGATGTTGTATATAACAGGAATCACGACATGCACAAGTTCTGGGCTAAGACGGCTGAGAATAGCAGCTGTATAGTTATCCTTGACAACAAGGGCTCTGTTTTCATCTGGAGGAGGTCAAAATCACCGTAACTTCAGTCATTCATCAATGATGTAGCTTACCAGTGTCAGCACAGGAATTGCCGACCAGCCGTAGAGCATGAAGGAGTACATCATTGTCATGAAACTCTCTCGAGGCGATGATCTGAAGGAAGAAATTCAAGATGCCAGCTCGCCCGTATGGGACTCTCCAGGATGCTAAGCGGAGGTCAGTCAATATCTTCCGATGATGAAACAACCCAAGACAACGCACAGTTTCTACTCCCGTTTGCCAGCACATCAGCTGCTTGCGCCAGATAGCTCGACCGGCACTTCCAGAGTTCAATTAGAATGGTCTGCACTTCCTCAAAGCTCTCAGCACTGCCTGTAGCCTCTGCAAGCGCATCTTCTAAGCGCCGCAAAAGGGTCGCTTGCTCGTCAACTGGGACCGAAGAAATTGTCTGCACTGGTAGAATTGACGGTCCGGGACTCAATTGTGGCAATATCTGGCCCAATGAAGGACAGTCTATATTATTCTCTGCCTGGCTGGACGTCTCCTTCGCCAATTGATCTTCAGCATCAGGTCCAGCCGTGTGAATAACATCCGGCTCGTTGTCGGTGATCATATCTTTGAAAGCGATTGCGTAAATAGCCTCTTCTGTGAATACGAAGTATATGCAGACTGTACAGCAAGGCAGGCAAGCCTCGTCCTCAAGCAAGCGTGTCCGTACTTTAAAAAAGCTGTCTATTCTCACAATGCTGAGAGGGTTTGCCACTTTATTCCCGTTTTTGGGGCTATTTTTCTCAACCCGGATGGCGCTAGATGACCAAATATGAAGATCGACGCTGAACGACTGGTGAATGCCTCGTTACCCTTCGATCTGAAGTCAAGTCTACACTGATATGGATGATAGCTTGAAGTGGATCAGATAAAGGCGACCTAAGGTAGCTAATTGTTCCGTCCAGGTTGTTCATACTGTAATTTATTACCATACAACCTCAATTACCCTGTTCGAGGCCACTCATGAAGCCTTTCATGCCATAACAGAATGAAATATTGCCAGCAGTTCTTTAATACTCCTCAGACTGAATGCAGAACGTTCAGGCTTTATACTCTCTGATTAGTTGTGATTGTCCTCGAAACATAACAACCTCAGGTACAGTACTGCTGGCGTTTCGGAGGGCATAGCGGCCATGGGGCCGCCCGTATTCCAGCCAGTAAATGTAAGGTACCGAGACTACAGACAGATGCAATAAGTTAGGGAGGTAAAGTAGACAACTCCATGGTGGCAGTTCGACCCTGAGTCCCCCATTCTTACTGCTGTCATTATTGTGTCTCAATTGCGTCTGGTTTGAACGCTAAATATACTCTCATTTAATCTCTTCCTATCTCTTTTTATCCCACGTCAACCACCACATTCCTTCACCATGACGCGCGCCCAGCAAACACTCTCGATTCTTCTCCTTGTGTCTTCTGTACGTGGCAGCTTCCCACTCCGAATGCTGAATTCTACTGACACCTGCCCCAATCTAGCTCTACCTCGTCCTATACCTGGGGCTTGTGCCCCTGAACGAAACTGTCCAAAATGAAGTTATCCCGGTTGTACGTTCATCCACCGCGGTTCCGCTCGCTGTTTACAGCTGTCCAAGTTGCCCGCTGACCCTTGCTCGATTTGCTCAACAGCTTCCCTTCTACGGCCTAATATGTTTCGCCTGCTACCTGGGTGGTCGACTCGGTATGGCCATCCTGACTTTCAACGACTGTCCCGAGGCACACCGGGAGTTGCAGAAGGAGATTGAGCAGGCGAGGGCCGACCTGCGCAGCAAGAACGTCGATGTTGACTAAGATGTAGTCCTTTTGTGGTTGCTCGGCGTTTGCTTTTGGAATCAGCAATCTGTTGGATATGTGCTTTCATCAGCTCAAGCTCTGCCTGTTCGGCTCGCTTCAATTAAAGTGAAATGATAACTCAAATACGCTCTCGCGCAAAGCTCGACTCCCAAATGACGGAATTCCGTTAGATCCTTGGAGAGACAGAAGTGGTAAGAGTCTATCACCCGGTCTCGGTGATCTATGATATTTGGTAGGATTAGACTGTGCCAGGTCGATCCATACTACGGGTCAAGCATAACATTGACCGATTTATGCCCAACCGTTGAACAAGAATGCCTACCGATGCCTATGAGAGTTCCAGATTTCCTGAACCTAGAATGAGAATTAACTTTTTCTTGCCTTTGATTTGTTCACGATCAAATGTAAGCCAGACCTCCCATCACGGGCCTTGATATGCATTGCTTCCTCTACCGGAGAGCCTCTCAAAACACCATTCGTAAACGTGACATGTCCAACATGAACTTCATCAAGCTCAGTAAAGAAAAAACAGACAACTTTATATGTGCAAGCAAATGAAAACCAATATGCAAGGGTGCTAAAAAGCGGGCGATTTATACAAAGCAAAATGTATGAAGCAATCATACGACGTAGTTGCTCGACCTGGAGACCTAAACAATGGGGTTTTCCATGGCCAGTCTGTCGTGCTCTTCGATATCCCTGTTGTTGGAGTCTCCGTTAGTGACCGAGAAAACGAGGAAGGCGACAAGAGTCCAGTACGTACGTGGCTTCCCAAGGATAGCAGATCCACACATCTTCCGCTGTGACTGCGGCAAGATAACGGCCAGATTCCATCATGTCGGCAGGCAACTCGCCCTTCTTCAACTTGTTCTTGTTCTAACGAAAAGTCAGCCAACCTATCCGCTGAATCGCCTTTCTTGGAAAATTGAAGATCAAGAACATACGTGAAGTACAAACACGAAGAAGTTGGTCTTCTCAGCCTCACGGCCGAGCTGCTTCTGAGCCATCTCCACGTCCTTCTGCAGCTCACGGACTGCATACTCCAGGGTTGTCCGGGTGTCATCGACCTCGTCGACAATGAGGATGTTCTTGCCAATAAGATTGGCCATCTCGAGAGAGCTGAGATCGAGCCATTGTGTCCGAGTCACCTTGGTTCCGGGAACCTCTTCGGGGTCACCACGACCCAAGTCCTCATAGAGAGACAGGCCAATAGCCTGAATGGGAATGTTGGGCTCGCCGGCACGCTTGAGGAAGGAGCTGATAGAAGGAATCGATCAGCATGAATCTTTGAGCTAACACTGGGACTGCTCGGCATACCGAAGGATACGAGCAGGAACGTAGCCACCACCACCAATGGCAATCATAAGAGTGGGCCGGAAGGTGTCCAGGATCTTCTCGGCGGAGGTCTGGCACAACTTGTGCACCTGTCAATTCAACCCGTCAGCGAACAGTCATTGACAAAAAGTGCGGAAGCACATTTGCTGTAGCTGGGCTGCAAGGTAATGGTGAGGAAAATGAGGCAGATGCAGATGCAGATGCAGGTTGCACACGTGCGCCTTCTCCGAACATTATTTTCTCGTGCAATACCGTCGCAGCCATCCAATGAGCGGTTGATCGAACAAGCATACCTGGTTGTATGTCACATAGACTTTTTGCGGCATGTTGGCGACGAGAGATCTTCCGATCGACAAGTTCAAAGAATGAATCGTGGAGGGGTAAATTCTCGATAGAAGAAGATCAATGAGCGGGCAACAGCTTCGAGGGGATTTTTGTGCGAGATAAAATCAAAATGTACCTTAGGTATCCAGTAGAAGTAGAGAGGGAGAAGCCAAGACATAAAAAAAAAGAAGAGGGAAAAAAAAAAAAAGAAAAGAAAAGAGCGAGAAAAAGGCCGGCGTCACTTCCGGGTGGTGTCGCGCATCTGATCGATTCCTAAACTGAGGGATGGAACCGTGGAAGTCAGGAAATTCTGGCACCATGCCACATGGGATTGAGGCAAACTTACCGTAAAAGGCTTGGTGGAGGCAATTTTGACCAATCAAAAAGTTTGCTAATGTGGGGGCTAAGCAATGACTGCCTGTCTGAGACTAGCTCAGGGTAAATAGCGGGCTTACCATGATTCCCAGCGAGGTTCGAGGCCCCGAGGCTTATGGTTGTTCGGACAAGCCATGGCTTATCTATATCTACGTAACAGATACAGGTGCTCAGCTGCAAATCATTGAAGGATGAGCGCAGGCTTATTTAAACCTCTTGTGTCTCCATTTATCTCATTGTGGTATGATGAACTTTTAGTGTCATAGTTCCGTTCTATTTCCATTTAAAATGCTAACCGTAGAAAAGGGTATCAAGCATGCAAAACCGTGCTGGATATCAAAAGTGTAAGTCGTTGACGTCGAGTCGTAGATCCTGTGGATGGAAGGACAAAAGTTCTCTCGGTGGGTGGATGAGCTGCAGCCTCGAGATCCACCAGCCCACGGCCACATTCCTTTCATCAGACTGGAGTCTGTACGCCGCCGAGTATACCGTCAATGATACTAAGAAGCCTATGCCCTGTATGGTTGTTCCCCCAATGATGATAGGTAAGGCACGAGAGGGTTCAAGTTTTGCGCTTAAGATCCCTGCATGAGGACCTATTATCAACATAGGATACGCCGGGAAGATCCATATAGGTGTCATCTGGGCTATCGTGAAAGTCTGAGTTGACCATCTACGGCAATGTGAGCATTCAATACCTTTTGTATAACCAGGAAGAGAAAATACCACATACAATAGCAGATAGATGCCGGCAGAGAAGATCACTGCGAGAGCCGCATCAATCCAGAATAACACACCGACAGCATAACTTAGCCAAGGTCCTGTAGCCTCTGGACCGTACTGAGAAATATTGATCAGGATTGTTCCAAATGAGACGATAGATGCAGGCACAAACAATGACTCCGTTGGATGCGTAAGTGATAATTTGAAGGTATATGGATGTAGGTAGAATCGCAGCAGCAGAATACACCATATTATAATGTATAGTGCAATGTTAAACAGGAAGACTACGATACCGATCGTTTCAAGGCCGCGGAATTTATAGGGAACTATTTCTCAAGTCAGCATCCAGGGGAAAAAGCGTAAACACGGCAAGCTTACCGTTATATAAGGCATTTGCGATACCACCAGTGCTCATTGAAAGAGTAAAGAAGGCCCAAGTAAAATGCCTGATTCGTTTCTTCCAGCTCAGAGACGCAGCTGAAGCGTCAGTGTCTCTGCGAGAGAGCGGGACACGCTCATTGTCGTACTTGTAAAACGAATGATTGTGCAGTGCTTCTAACGCGGAAGATCGAGCCTGTTGGATTGCCCTTCCGGTCGTTGGGGAGAGTAGTGACAACTCATTCCTATGCAGCACACGCTCTTCCTCTGTCATTGCAATTGTGCCCACAACTGTAGGATCATGATTCGAAGCTCAGGTATCCGCACTTCGCCGGAAGCATAGGAGCTGGTTTACTCGTGCTTGAGTTCTTAGCTATGCTTGCCTGGAAGAGACAGAGACAAAATGTATGTTCTCACAAGGAAAGACGAAAACTGGGTAAAGAAAAAGATGTGTGCAGTGATGAAGGCTAGGAGTTAGCTGATCGGCAATTGGGCAAAGAAATCGTCTATGCTTTGGTCTAAAAGCCATATCTAGCCAGTGAAAGCCCTCCGTGGAAATCGAAACACGTCGATATCCCGATCGAAGCGAATGGAGGTGAACTGGTGAATGGACCCGTCGGGTACCGGCACACAAGCATTTGATGGTGGGGAAGAGACCGATCGAATCAAATCATATGTCATTCCCTAAAACCATGAGAATACCTGAAAGGTAGCAATCATCTTTGGTATGAGTGGACCATTATCATTAAATTTCACCCCAGACGATGTCCAAAGTACTGATTCAGACCAGTGCTGCCAAGAACAACGAGTAGAACGGTGGATGCCTGAATGGCGGAAAGTGTTGGATGCCCCGCGTTGATCTGATATGTCATATAGAAGGCCTTGTTTTGATGAGCTGCACTTCGTGCGTCATACCTGAAGGGAAACAACTCTCTATAGCACCTGTTTACAAATTACTGCAGATAATGGCGGGGATTCAATAGGGACAGAAGAGAGCTGCGCATCAATATTTCTTGGTATCATCCCAGCAAACTTGGACATCTGCGCCACAGCCGAAGTACCTAGTGAATAGTACAAGTACTCAATAACTAAAAGGCTAAAGCCTTCCAGAGCAGAATATATATCAGCTCTTATCCATACAACAGAAAATATCGATGGCCATTACCGTGTGTGTCTCTTATAACACATGATAGACTGACATAAGAGGTACATTATTGCAGAAAAACCTATACAATTCGCGACAAACGAAACTTACCTTATTGAAAAGTTTTCCGAAATCCACTCAGATCGTCTAGGTATCCATAGCTGTTCGTGAGCCCGTTATATAGTTAATACCCGCCCTAGTCATGCTAACATAGGATACTTGAAGGTACCTGGTAAGTGTATTATTATTATCATCAAGGCAATCGAGAATATGGATGCATATACCCAGAGAATGCAAACTAAGTACACTTACCTGGCAGCTAATTGGTCCAGATGATATGTGGGGGGCTTATATGTCTGCCGAGGTTTCAGTTGATTCGCTCTTAAGTAGATACGGAGTTGTCTACATCTTCATACCTCTACAAATCCGCCGCATTTTCTAAGCTATTTAGTCTTCTTAATTTCTTCAGACATTCGATTCGATAGTGCTGAGTATTCTGTAACTTTTACTTGCCTTAGTACATTTGGATTGAGTGATAGAAATGACAACTGCGCGAGATGACCGCAAGTCTGTGTTGATCACTGGGTAACCAAGCATTTTGTTGCATTGAGAATTTTAATCGTTTCGGTGCGCGCCGCTAATCGTTTTGGTGATCTGAACTAGGTGCTCTCCCGGTGGAATAGGCAATGCGCTCGCCCGTGAGTTCCATCGAAATGGTTTGCGCGTATTTGCAACGGCGCGAGATGCAAAGAACATCGATGATCTAGCAACCCTGGGTATCGAGACGCTAGACTTGGTAGTGGATGACGAAGAAAGTGTCAAAGCCTGCTGCTCCGAAGTTGAAAAAAGACTTGGGGCAAGGGACTTGATTTTCTTGTTAACAATGCGTATTCTTCTCCCTCTTGACTTTGCTGGAACCATTGACCTGGATGCTGATACCTGCGTGGCTAGGGGCCGAAGTACGTTATCAAATTGGACCTAGTTTGCGCAGTGCGTCATTTACACAGAGAGAGTCTTTACTCACGTATGACAGACTACACGGTTCCAGCTACTGAGATAGACCTGGGGGAAGCCCGGAAAACTTTTGAAACCAACTTCTTCGCGGTCATCTCTATATGCCAGGCCTTCTTGCCATTGCTCATTAAGGCAAAGGGCACTATTGTGATGATCGGTAGTGTGGCGGGGGTTAGTCAATTCTCCTCATTATATGTCATTTTTCCGGTCCTGACAGTCTCCCTTTTTGTCAAGATCATACCTTATGTGTTCGGGTCGGTCTACAACGCCTCAAAAGCCGCTCTGCATTCGTTCAGCGACACACTGCGGGTGGAACTTGCTCCGTTCGGGTATGCGAATGTGTTTCTCCATATTACCCCTTTTCACTGATGCTGAACCCCTTTCAGAGTAAATGTCACAACTGTCATCACTGGGGGTGTGCAATCCCGCATTGCACGTACTAAGCGAACTCTCCAGCCGAACTCCCTGTTCACTCCTATTGAAGACGAATACGCACGCCGTGTGACGCATAGCCAGGATGGCGCGATGCCACATGCTGCATATGCGCGAAGCGTTGTAACGCAGGTCCTGTACGGATCAGCGCCATGGCGCTGGTTATGGCCCTGGGCGCAAGGACGAAAGAGTTGCATCTGGGAAGGGAACAAGAGCTGGCTGATTTGGCTCCTATGTGGCGGTTGGGCTTGGACGGGTCTATTTCATCGCGCCATGACGCGGATGTTCAAGCTCTACAAGTTGAAAAGTGCCATAGGGAAATAGAAGCGAAGAATCATTGCTCGGCTCTATAGTCTAGAAGAACCCAACAGGTGTTCCACCACGAAAACAATTTCTGTGCATCTGAGAGAATCATAGAGGTATAGAAGTTAAATGCAGAGATGATTGGAGACGACCGGCAAACTCAGTTATCATTTCTTGCTTTCTCTTGGTTCTAGTGACGACAAGGCCAGCAGATTATGGGTCTCGGCAAGGAACTGTGATCGGGGAAGAAGTTATAACAGCCTTCCGTGATATTCGCGTCGCCCCCAATATGCACCCGATTAGTCATCTATACACGCACGCTGGTTGGCTCCATCAGGTGACCGGGTGCAATGCAGACGAAGCGCAATATTGTTCCGACAAGCGCAGCCGTGAAAAAGCAGTGAAAGCTGTTCCCTTTCCCGAGATCTCAACAGTGGATAATCCGCCCCTTCTTGTCAACAATCACCTTGGAGGCTCTGTTCTTTCTCTCTTGTGCTCTTATCTATTTTCTCGAAATTCTCCCCTCTCTGACAAATTATTTTCATCATGTTCAAGCTCGCGCGCAGCAGCCGTCCTGTCGCTGCAGCTATCAGAGCTGCGACGGTGAGATATTTTCCTGTGCTATTTTGATAATATTACATGATACCATATCTATTAGCATCAAATTGAGCTTGCTGACATTGCGATTTTGGTAGGAATCCTCCGTCCAATCCAGATTGGCTCAGCAACAGAGAAACCTGTCCATTCACGAATACCTCTCTGCCCGTCTTCTCAAGTCCGTACGTTGTCGGAAACGTTCACTCGATATTTCGCAGATCTAAGATGACTGACCGGATGGCAGTATGGCGTCGGAGTTCCCAAGGGTGAGGTCGCCCACTCGGCGGAGGAAGCTGAGGCTGTCGCCAAGTCAATCGGTATATATGAGCCCTTAACAGACAAGCTGGACCGCGGTTTACTGAGACAAACACTTTAGGGAACGATGACATGGTGATCAAGGCTCAGGTTCTTGCTGGTGGCCGTGGTAAGGGTTCCTTCGACAATGGCCTTAAGGGAGGTGTGCGCGTTATCTACTCGTGAGTGATTCCCCTAAAATTTCATTGTTTTCGCCTACGATATGTCCTCTTGTTGACATTTATTTTTCTCCAGCCCAACCGAGGCCAAGATGTTCGCTAGCCAGATGATCGGACACAAGCTCATCACCAAGCAGACTGGTGCTGCTGGTCGCCTTTGCAACGCAGTCTACATTTGTGAGCGCAAGTTCGCTCGTCGTGAATTCTACCTTGCCGTCCTCATGGACCGCGCAACTCAGTCCCCCGTCATTGTTGCCTCATCGCAAGGTGGTATGGACATTGAGGCAGTTGCCAAGGAACACCCTGAGGCTATCATGACAACTCCTGTTGACATCAAGGTCGGCGTGACTGATGACATTGCCCGCAAGATTGCTACCGATCTTGGCTTCTCTGAGCAGTGCATCGAGGATGCCAAGACAACCATCCAGAACCTGTACAAGGTCTTCATGGAGAAGGACGCTACTCAGATTGAGATCAACCCTCTGTCTGAGACCTCTGACCACCAGGTTCTGGCTATGGACGCCAAGCTGAACTTTGATGACAACGCTGAGTTCAGACAGAAGGAGGTCTTCTCGTGGAGAGACACTACTCAGGAAGACGCCGATGAGGTCAAGGCTGCTGAGTACGTCCCGATGGCACCCAGTTCATAACCCACGTAATTTCTCTTCTAACTTGGACGACAGGTACGGCTTGAACTTCATCAAGCTGGATGGTGACATTGGATGCCTAGGTACGACCTGACAACACTTACCTTACTGCGCTCATGCTGACCGCTTCTTTAGTCAACGGTGCTGGTCTCGCCATGGCCACCATGGATATCATCAAGCTCAATGGCGGAAGCCCCGCCAACTTCCTTGATGTTGGTGGTGGTGCTACTCCCGCCGCTATCAAGTCTGCTTTTGAGCTCATCACCAGCGACCCCAAGGTCACTGCCATCTTCGTTAACATCTTCGGTGGTATCGTCCGCTGCGATGCTATCGCCCAGGGTTTGATCAATGTCGTGGAGGATATGGGTCTGCGCATCCCCATCGTTGCTCGGTTGCAGGGCACCAACATGGAGCAGGCTCAGAAGCTGGTACGTGGCCAACCTGTTTGCATTCACACACTACGAAAATGGCCATGAAATGCTAATGTAGGATTTATAGATCAACGAGTCCGGTCTTAAGATCTTCTCCATTGAGGACCTCCAGAGCGCCGCCGAGAAGTCCGTCCAGTTCTCCAAGGTCGTCAAGATGGCCCGTGAGATTGACGTCGGTGTCGAGTTCACCCTTGGTATCTAAACCCCGTCGGTTTGAGATAGTCCAGCATGTGTCATCGCCTAATGTTTCACCTTTCTGTCTTCTCTTTCGTGATTTCCCTTTTTACTTTCCTTTGATTACATGGGTGATGACATGGTTGGAAATACCAAATGGACTACCTACCGGGGACCTCAAATTCACCGCCCTCGTGATACTACTGTGAATGGTTGATCAGCGATACGGATGCTGAATTGCGAGGGCGCGAGTCGGTCAGAATATATTAGTAAATTGGGCTAGTATAATAGTGAAATCCGCACAGTACGCGGATGGCAGGGTGGCATAATCATAGAGAGCATTGATGGTTCTGTATATCGTCCATATCTATTCTTTTTTTCCTTTTCCTTTCCTTTTGTCAATGTATTTCTTGTCGATTCGGTATTCTATCGATCCAAATATCTGTTCCTCTAAGCGCCTCAGCTGTCGAACCAGACAAAAGCTCAAGACCTTCTAATTGAATAGTGTTTCTCTTGGTCATAAAAATAGAAGACGCATCATCCTCAATTCCATTGAAGCCACCATCTTCAGTTGTCCGAGATTTGGAAAGGAATAGCACACAAGGGCTGCGCGGCTTCATCGAAACACCACGCGCTCACGCCGCCCCTATTGACCAACAAAACACAATCATGATCTCCCTTGAGCACATATTCGTCGGCATCATGCTGACCAGGATCGACCGCCCACGGAGAAGGCATAGACTTGGCCGGCCGGTAAGGAACTTGCGCGCCTGGTTGCGAAATCCAGATGGTGGGCATGGCTCGCTCGATCCTGATGTAGTACAAGAGGTTGCGGTCGATAGGTGCAACGTGTAAGTGGGAGGAGGATGTGTGCTCCGGGGGTAAGAGATGCAAGAAAACCTCTTCAGTCTCGATATAATGGGTAATGGCGATAATATAGTGTGGGTGGTGATCTTTACTACCCTTGGGACGGGCTATTAGGATTCCCGCTCTGTCGTTGAATTGTTCTGAGAGCCAGGCATTTGGCCGGACTACCCAGTCGCTGTTCTCTAGCTTTGGCAGGGTCAGGATTTTCGATGCGGTTTGAAGAGCTTCCAACGAATCATCAAAGCAATGCTTCACGACCTGCAATTGTGCGGCATTGCACGGAACCCCTTCGAGATCCCAAGGGCCATCAACGTTGTCATTCCGTTGTAGATGGATGGAGATCAAGCAATCCAGCGTAGAATGTAAGTCTATAAACACTAAGTGATCTGCCACGACTAACGTGCGGGAATCGCGCGTGTTGAAGTCCCATTGCATGACAACAGTGTTTCCAGCCACGGGATCCTTGAAGCCGAAAGCAACCTTGGTGCCGCGGACAACGAAGAGGTGGAATAGGCGGGACGGCAATCGAAAGTATGCTGACTCCTCCGTTCGGAGATTCCAGACATGGCAGTACCTAAAACCGTTCCATGAGTAAGAGAATACTAAATCAGTTTGATCTGCCTACCCACGTAGAGTGACCACCGCAACGATCAACTCCGAAAGACGAATGTGGCCGATGCGTTCTCTGTTTTCCGTGCAGAACATCTGCATTGCATGCGAACGCAGATCCTGCACGACGACCGTGGTCATTTCGCCAGTCCATGCATACCGTCCGTTCGAATAGTCTAGACATGCTGGGCTAATATTGCTGGGCTCGCGCCGACGGAGGGCTGAAGATGGTTCTCCTCGCTCCAGTCTGATCCTCTGCTTGGCATACTGGTTGTAGATGTGATGAGACGTCTGATGACAAAGATTGAGGGTGCGGCCTGAATACCGGCGGTACACAGCGCTGCGGACCGGGTTAGATGACAGTAGCTTGTGCCAAGTTCTAGAGACCTGATAATGTGAGTTTCGCCATTCATGGTCAGAAGACGTTGACATATATTGCCTACTCTCTGCAAAACATGGATTTCCGCCAGGTCTAGATGCTGGGCGACTTGCACAGCGACCTCGGGGGGAAGCAACCCTAGGATATCACACTGGAAGGTTCTTGTATTGAGATGATCCCTCAAGTCACGCCATTCGTCAGAAGCTAGCTGGTGGATGAGTTCATGGAACCTGGGATTGGTGACTAGTGTCAGTCAATGAGTCTTCAAAAATATGTATTATCGTGAAAAGGCTTTTGTTGAGAAAACCCATACACTCTGTGTCGCGCTGACTTGGTCCTCAGATTTCGGAGTCGAGTGATGATCTCCTGTTCGTCCGAGTTGGGATCTACACATTCCATAGTGACGGGGATATCGTTTTCCAGCGTCTGTGAATCATCGTTGTCGTTCGTTGTAAAGGGGAAGAAGTATCTACCATGACGGGTAGGTATCTGGCACACTGTGGGAGGGTTGAGGCTCTCAGAGAAGGTGATGATAAGGAAGGAATCAGCTGAGCTACCTTAGTTGATCCGCCATCATGTTTTGCCTATATATAAAAGGCCCAGAGGGTGTTTATAACACCTCGGGTGAAATGCCTTGATGGCTGTATAAATTTGGATAGAATATACTCTACTGTGTACTGGATATGAGGTATCGAGCTATGATTCAACATTCTTCACTACATATGTACGCAGTATACTCCGGAGTATATTCTACGTTATGATTAGCAAAGGGACGGAGTACCAAACGATAGCAATGGGTAGATAGATGATAATAAACCCACCTAGGCAGATAACCAGGGTTAAGACGATGATAGTCGGATATTGAAACCTCTGCGTCCAGACTATTGAATCTAGTGTTAATTTACGGCGCATGTTTAGACTAGGCACTACAGATCTATCCCAATACCCAATATCTACCTCTCTAGTTTGCGGCCTGAATGTGTACTCCGCATCTCTCTACACTCCTCGGTATCAAACGTACAATGGCTTTGAGTCCACTGAGCTACAGAGGACAAGCTTGTCTATTACTGATTTCCTCTTGGTGATCCTTCATAATCGCTATTATTTAATTTTTACTCAGTAGAGAGCAATCCATCAAATTACAAATACCATTTGCATAGATAGTCTTGTCTCTCCTAGATATGGAGTACATCTCTCTCCCCTCATAGATCATAATATATCATACTCCGTATTACTACCCCTATTCGCCTCCCCCTCATCACTAGTCGCAATATATCTTCTTCTTTTACCACGCCACTCTTCCTTGCACCAACCAATTGTTGTTCCATATCCGCGGTTCCGTGCAGATTCCAGAGCCCAGACTACTGCTTACCTGCTTATTTTAGTAAGAGACTACTTGGATTTAGTAGGATTGTGGCAGGTAAGCCCGCTATCGACTACGGGGTTCCCAAACATCCATCTGCACCTTAAACTCCTATCATTACTAACGATTCTGTTGGTATCACCAACTATAGTCTATCTATTATTGTCTTATGTCATATTGTTTAATATATTCGAGATAATCCTTTATCTGAATTCTCGTTTCAGAATCTCCTCAACCGCGGATTTTCATCTTTGTCTTTTCTCGCATTCTCTCTCTCTATGCTCTGAGGAACTGATCGCCCCCTTTTCCTTCTTTCATAAGGCATATACAGAGAGGATATTTCAATAAAATCGCATAGGCACTCTAGAGCAGAAACGAAAAGGGGAAGAGGTGAAGGCAAAGAAAAGAAATCGTGCATTTGAACGACACGGAGCCTACATATCGGCTGTTCCCGTGCCTCCGTTGGTCATTTCCCGAGCTCTTAGACTGGATGCCAGAAACCGGACCCGTGATAGTCAGCTTCAACTACTAGGTATCTACTAGCAGCTATCTGGTTATCTGCAGATCCGATCTTTTAACGCGCCTCGTCCGCGACACATTCCTGCCCTTCCACGGCTCGTCCCTCTCGCCCCTCTCGTCGATTTCATGCTGGCACCTCCTTCCGAGACTAGATTGGAACGAGTGGAGAACAAAGGGGCAAAGAGGAGCTTTGGACTGGTCTAAGACTCTTCACACCCATTGAGTCTGGCGGGCAACAAAAATTCTTGAACTGTCGCTGTTTGGTAAATCGACGCGCGAGAGGGAAAAGAAAAAGGAAAAGGAGAGAAATCGAGGCCACACTCTATCTACAGGATCTTCGCTTCGCAATGACTCTAGAAGCGGAGACTCTATGGTATTGATCCGCGCCTTCTTGGCCCAGGCTCTGTGATTCTTTGTATCCACTTTCCCACGTTCTCCAGTCCTCCACGAGCCGCCGACATCTGGAAGAGAGGAAAAAAGGCACTACGTGATCGCTCCATCTCTTCGTTGACCCTTCACATTTTCAGTCCAAGTGGTTTCTTGCAAGATCCGCTCTGCACAGACTTGCTTCCTCCCCTCTGCGGCTTGGCCGTCCTCGTTCCTTCCGCGCGAGATGAGCAACCTCGCCGATCCTCCGTCTCGAAATACCTTTACTGCCGGTTCTGCAGATGCGCCAGGCAAGACACGAAAGCTCACCGTCCTTCCCTCCTCTATTCCATCCTCTGCTCAGTCGACAGGTGACTCCATGGAGGTCACACCACCTGCCTCTACGACGACAGGTCCTGCGCCGCCCGCCCATAGCAGTCCGGACAGCGATCGGGCGGGCGCAAACACCGCGAATTCCAATGGTTCGGTCGAAACTGGGAACATGAACAATACTCCAATGTCAAATCAAGCAATCGGGGCTGCAGCCGCAGCGCAGCAGCCAAAAGTCGTTCAGACCGCTTTCATTCATAAACTGTACAAGTATGTTTGCTCAGATTCCGTTCGCCCTCACCGATGTCTCAAACCCTTCCTTATCTTATACTTACAATCTGCACCTTTACATGTGATCCCTTGCTGATGCCACTTAAACAGTATGCTTGAGGATCCTAGTATTCAACATCTGATATCGTGGTCGAGCACCAACGACAGCTTTGTCATGTCGCCAACATCCGAGTTCTCAAAAGTTCTCGCGTCAGTCCCTCCCCTTGAAAGCGCTTCGCATATTGTAGCCTGGTTGCTGATATTTGCCTCATTAGTCAATATTTCAAGCACACTAATATCTCGTCTTTCGTTCGACAGCTCAATATGTACGGGTTTCATAAAGGTATATGATTTTGAAGGGTGTGTATATGGGTTCGTACTTTTGCTGACCCTTTGTATCTTTATAGTGAGCGATGTCTTTCACACCGGCTCTCCAGACTCTGCATTATGGGAGTTCAAACACGGGAATGGGAATTTTAAACGGGGCGACCTCGTAGGGTTGCGCGAAATCAAGCGCCGAGCATCACGACATGCCTTGATTCATCGCGACTCATTCCCCGGCCACAAGACCGCTGTTTCTCAACCTGGCACACCGGCCGAGCCCGTCCCAGATGCGACTGAAGCGCGCTTGCTTAATTTGGAACATTCGCTGTATGACATGCATACCCGTTTAAGTCGCGCTGAAGAGGCACATTCAGCTCTCAACTCAAGATGCCAAGCCATGGCGGAGAGTTTGGCCAGATGTTATCATGTTCGTTGACCCTTTTAAGTTTCATCGAGGCGCCTGCTATGTCTGACACTGGAGCACTGACGGGATCTCAGTGGACGTATTCGATTTCTCACTTCCTACAAGGAACGATTCCTGATCGGGACAGTCCTCTGTACCGGGATGGTGAGCATCACTACCAAAAAACAACATTACCATGACCACATTCGCTAACTCACCACAGTATCCAGCATGCAGAAAGAGATAGAGAAACATGTCGACGTCGTGCGTGCCCTCGAAAATCCTCCGGACCCATATTTATCTGTCAGGCCACCATTTTTTGCCAATGTGTCGGTTGATCCCGGGCCGCCTCTTTCCCCACGCCAGGTGCCCCAAGACGATAGCCGTCGACCATCGATGATGGATACGTCTAGGCATAACATAATCCGACCACCCGTGCCCCCGCATCTTGCTGTGTCTCCTCGCCGGTATGGCTCAATTGGTGGGGGAAACTCGTCCCCGAACTATAATCGGCCGCAGGTGCCCTCTGTAGTCCCACCTCAACAGCCGATGCCTCATCCTCTGTCTTCGGTATCTTCTCCGCCGGGACCAAATCTTGCTCGTCGACACACTTCGGCAGACATCCGTCAGCATGGCTGGCCACCGCCGAACGTTTCCCAGTTTCCCCCTGCTAATGCACAAGGCGCTTCAGTTACACCTTGGCCACCCTCACCCCATCGTACACCGACTTCTAGTGAGCAGCAGGTTCGAGATGTGCTGGCTCAGTATGAGATGGGAGTGCCGCGGCGGTTTCAAAGCAGTTCGCGACATGCTACGCCGCCTTTGAATCCGGACCAGCCGTCATCCACTCTAACTGTGGACAACGCATGGACATATGGTGGATCGAAGTATGCTAGGCATGAATCCTCGCTTCCTGCCACCAGACGATCCAGCATGGCCAGCAACGTCCACTCGCTCCTCAACCCCGCTGATACAGCGGAACGTCCTGAAGAGGATCAGCATAACAACCTCGAAGATCGGAAACGAAAGCGGTTAGAATAAAAAAAAAAAAAAAAAAAAAGAGCCTGAGACTGGTATACGCGCTCAATTGCAATGTCTAACCGAACCGCCAATGTAAGGCGCAAGTCATATGTTGAGCATGAGAACATCAGTATCTGTTCTCCGTCTTGCAGCAACAGCGATACGCGCAAACCTCTTGAAGAAGCACCATCCGCATATTTGAGCAATCTATCACTGCCACATATTCTGATCACATTGAAATCTCACCCCCGTTCTTTGATCTTTATATTTTCTTTCATCCCATATAACTTGTACAATCTCTCCAGGAAAAGTGCGGGTTTTCTAGGACAGTTGGAGGCCACGCTTTGTTTTATTTTGTCTTCTACGACTAATTTGGAGGGCGCAGCCCTCCTTTCGCAGCATACCTGCTGGAAATCCTTGTATGTCCTGTTCTGTTGATATCATACCTGACCATGCAGATCGATGATGACTGCCTTCTTGCCACAGTATTGGTGTTTGCACTTATTGGGAACTTGGAATAGGCAGGTTCGGTTTCCGCATATCATACTTACTATATACCCTGGGGCTGGGTGGGGCAGACCATGTTTATTTTTGAGCACAAGCTAGATCTACAATAGGAATCTAGAATCTAATGCAATTATGTCCGTGTGCATGTACTCGGTGACAGAATATTGTCTGCAGCCTTTGCCCATCTCTCGGATGTTGGTCAGGAACTGGTGAGACTAATTCGAGAGTATGGCTAACTATAAGAATAAGGTCAATCACGACAACGAGAAGGTCCACAAAAAGGATTTGCTGTATTCACGTGAATCGCTGTCTATCAAACTCAATATTTCATCGGATATCTGGGTATCATGTTGTACAACTGAAAGATTAGGGGAGGTTCCTGACGACCAACATCATCGCTTCTTCCTCTTTTTCGACCGATCGGCGAGTATCTCATCCAAAAAACTTGTGGCTTTCTTCCGACCTCTCGGCCCTGGCGCTGGTCGCGATAAGGGGCCCTCGTGCTTCGCTGCAGTGTCTTCGCTATCTCCATCCTTGATCTCACCAGCGCCACTAGGGCCCTTGCCATCGTCCTCTGCGATATCAGTCGTAGCTTTTCTTTTCCGTGCCGAATCCACCGCTTTCTTCCGAAGGTCGCCTTTCCTTCCTACCACCGCCGTTCGTCCTTCTTCATCATCATCATCATCATCTTCATCATCCGCATCTCCCGTTCCAGCCGCCGAGGAAGCCGCCGCATTCCCAGCGGGTGCTCCATTTCGGCCCACCGGCTTGCCCGATTTTGCCCCAGCAGAAGCAGCCATGACCTTCTTGTAGTGTTTCCCCAGGAGTTGTTTGCGGAGCTTATCGTTGGAGTCTAATTCGGTCCGGTTCCAGCTCCCGTCAGCGGCTTTTTCGGGGAGGGGCGCGCCGACACCTAGTCTGTTTCGGGAACTCAGTAAACCTGGAAATAGACATTGGCATCAAACAGGGAAAATGAAGGACATACGTCTCTGGAACAGCAGTGAAGATCTCATCTTCCTCTCGCTGCAGCTCTTCTTCTGTCTTGACACGGGCCTTTTCTTCGTCTGTCGGCGGAGGGAGCCAGGAGGCTACTAGACGCTGGCTGCGTGCTAAGGCAACATTGGCTTTGTTGAGAATGATGTCCGTTTCAGTTTTCGATATCGACATTTTTCTTTCACGTATGTTATATATAAGGATTGGTTGAGCTGACTGTAGAAGATCACCACTGATGGATTGGAACTTTTTGCGATAGCAGGGCGGAATATGGGGGCAGAAAGTTCACCGCCTGCTTTGGTAAGGAGGATCTGATATGGCTGAGGTAAAATGACAGTAAGAGCCTCTTAGTTGATGATTTACTGTCATTCGCTGTTCATAGTGACGAATGGACTGCTGGCAAATGGTTAGTATAATAATGCTGTGACCACTGTGGTACTGGCGGCAGCAAGTTTGTTTTCGAATCTCAGCGCATCAATCCGCAAAATGAATCTATGTACATCTCTAGAGAATCTAGTCTATATCAGGTTCAAAATACTATGTACAACACTGAGGGAACGTAGACTATATACCCTTCGTTACATCAATCACTTCCCGCAAGACAAAATCCAAACTCGGAGAAGCTCAGATCCGCGCTTTCTTTTTCTCTTGTTGTTGCTTTTCTTTTAGTTTCTTCTCCGTCTTCATGAATTCGCGAATACCAACTGGTATATTGGCAAAGAGATCATCTGCCTCGTGAGATACTGGCCAGTTAGTTTCGCTACCTCCGCCGTCGTCATCCATGCTACGACTCGCACTATCAACCTCTGCCCTGGGCGTCTGTCGCATATCCGCCGTGGCCTTCTGGGTAGTGCCCTTCGCCTTGGCGCTTTCCACACGACTGGCCCATTCCTCCATTTCATCGCGGTAATCATCCCACACGCAATGGACACAACCGCTCATGCAGCAATTGTCCGGTTCCTCGGGCCGGGGCGGAATGGCCACCCCGTTTATCGTCTTCCATTGAGACTCGGGCGGCATACTTCCGGGGTTATAACGCGAAGCACGGCCTGGTCCAGCAAGTCGCGACCCGAACACGATGGACATCTTCTCTTCTGGTGATTGTGGCTTGACGTTTGTTGCTGGGGTTGGTTTCTCGGCGGCTGGGCGGGAAGTCGGCGCATGAGATCTGTAGGGTGATTTGGATGAGAGAATATCGTAGTAGTAGCCCGATAACGGATGCGCCTGCGAACGCGTTGAATCTTCTAAGCTGGCCAGGGTATCGTCGTGGGCGGTCTCGCGGTGGGAAGGAGGAGTGAAGGCATATTGTCTTGTCGTTGATAAAGTTGGCCAGGGGGGTAAAGAAAGCTTGGTCGTAACCCGGACGTGCCTGAAGCACCATGGGCGGGTTCTACATCGAAGAATCGACTGCCTGATATGCATGGAGTAGCACTCCATTCTTGAGTTCCAGAATTAAATGTTGAAGAACTTCCGAAGGCCGCGGGAAACGAGCAACTTATGTCATTTAGGCAAACAATGCAAACAACCCGCAGCTATCCCGATTCCGCGGATATGTCTAACTAGGTATGCTTATCGCGGAACACATGCTGCACGATGTTGAAACCAGGTTCATGCGATTAAGGCGCGAGGCAGCAGTCGCCTCTATTGCGTGAAGGATAGATTTATCGAAATAAGTCATTTACACCATTTGGATGCCTAGTTACGAGTTGTGCGAGCGGCGCTAATCACTCGGGTCAACAATTACTACCGCTTGCGACGCGTTGCAAATGAGTTCACAACCCCTCAGGGGGGACGCTCGAACGCGCCCTTCCAGGATTCCGACCTTTCAAGCGCCAACAAAGGCGAGTCTGGCAAGATCGCATCCCGAGATTTTGGAACGCCCTCATAATAATAAGTCACCGGGGAAGGACCGGGATCAGGATAATCAGCAGAAGCAGGCGGAGGCGGGAGCATTTGGGCTACGGGATAGAAAGGCCTTTCGACCGTCGTTGGCGTCGACCGCAAGCCCTGTACGTGCTGCGCGACAAGCTGGAGATGCGCGCTCGCCGTTTTCAACCCGACGGTCGAGTGGAATTCAAGCATTTGCTGCACCCCCAAGACGAGTGTCCAGAAAAATCACTCCTGCAGACTTCGTCTTCGGGTCTCCAGCAAACTTACCAAATACTGCGACAAATCCAGAACCTATAAACACCCCGGAAGATCAGCTAGCGTCTGAACTTGGCAGCGCGACAGGAGAAGTTAATGTGAGCTTTGATTCTGAGCAGCCGTCTTTGCATGAAGAATTTGAGGAACCGGACCTCCCCCCGACGCCGACTCAATTAGGCTTGGAAAATCCCCCCGAGAGACCAAGGAGACTTTTGAGCAGCAGTCCTAGCACGCAGCTTGGGAGGTTCCGAACGCGGCGAACTGGTGATCTACTAGAGAAAAGCCCTTCCAAGCTCAGGAGGGTTGATTATGGGTCACAAACAGGTGACCTGTCAGGACTCGGCGTCGTTGTATCGAAAGAATCTCTTCCAGAACCTGTTGTGAAGAAACAGAAACTCAAGAGAGAGCTCTCTGCCGACTTGAAAAAGCTCAGGGAGGACATTGAGGAATTGGAGAGCTGGTCAGAGAGGTTGGGCCAACAACATGAGACCATGGAACCGGACCACGACTTGGACAAACTCATGTAAGTTTTGTTTGGTACTCTTATCGCATTAACCCACTGACTGGTTTCGGAACAAGCTCTATATTAGTCGCAGAAGATCTAGCCAGCAAAAATGCAAAACGTCCTGCAGCTGATCCGTCGATATCGTCCTTATTATCCACCCTATTACCTTTCTCCACAAAGTTCGCGCCGTCAATACAGCAGTCCCTTTCCCCCACGAATCCGTTTGCCCTCGAAGTATCTGCTCGAGCGAAACCATACTGGACAGTATTTGCACCCTTGAATTTGACGGCGCATTCGAACACTACCTCTGACCCAAAGAACGATACCCTTCTTGAGAGGCATCACTTGACACTATCTGCTCCAGCTCCGTTTCCATCCGACATCTACAATATACCTGTCATTTACGAGACGAACACCGAATTACAATGTTTGACCTCAATATCAGTCCCGACGAGTCTTGGAACTTCCGCAACAAAACTCCCTACATCACTGAGACGATGGATCGATTCAAGGCTATCCAATCCGCTCCTGAAAATAGACATAACGGGCCTCTGTCAGGGCATCAATCAGTATTGGGAAGCAATGCTGTCACGTGCTCTCATATGGTCCAAAATCGAGAAACGTCACGCAAACCTGACTGGCCGGCCTGCCTTGGGGGTCGGTGCTCCTGGAAAGAACAGCGTACAACAGGAGCAAGATGATAAGTCGGACCCGTGCCGTCTACTGCCACACATCAAGCGCAGCACAATGCTTTTCGAATCCAAAGAAACTGGGATGAAATTACTCGTTTCGTGCGATCTGAGCATGGACGAATGGTCAAGCGAACCTAAACTGACGCCGAATATCAGCATCGGTGCGAGATCCACGAGTAGTGGCACATCTAGCAGGAAGATCGAACAAGAGACCAAGAAGCTCTTCCACGAGGTACTCAAGGACAGCAGACGTCATCGGGGCACAATTGAAACTGAGGCCGATGTTATCATTCGAGCTGTTGAGTGCGTCCTAAATGCTTTGTTCAGTGTTAAAGCCGGGGGAAAGGTCTCAAGACTACACGCTTAATGAGAGATTTACCCTTGTAATGTCGATAACCTCGCTTCGCTTCTGTGATGGATGATGTAAAAAGCACAGAGGGTTGAGTTGGGAGATGAGACAGGCGCCGAGATTGGAGTTTTTGGATTTTGGCTACCTCTTGCATATGGATGTGTTGAGAACTTTTTAATACCCGGCCAAGCATGCGGCACTGTTTCTTATGGCTTACGTGCAGAGTACATGTACTTCTGCGGATATACATGTCCTGGAAAAACTACAAGATACCATGTAAAAACCTGTGCACACTTGTATGAGATCTGGTGTATATGTCATGCAATTGCTAATCCTCCTCTATCTCCTCTTGCACGTCCATGCATTGAGAAATTGGCCCTAAATGTAGCATGGATATTTAGGTGGAAGGGCACAAGAAGGGTGCCCAAGCTGCCTGTCCCTGGTATAGTCGGCAAATTCTACCCAAGCGCTCCATGGAATGAACAGCAGAGCCAGCAGACGCGTCCTGAAAGGTATTTCATTAAGTTGATCGATAACTTCGCAGGGAGGACCGGTCTGTGAACATGAAAGTGGGACATTTGCATTTCGAGAGGTTGGGAGCTTTTTTAAGGACAAAGGTGAAGAGAGAAAAGGGAAGCCACGCCATGCCACAATACACTAATAATCCCCGACTTGAAAATCGACCCGATCATCATTAGCTGAGAATCACATTTATTTCTTAGCAGCAGACTCCTCATCAGCCTTGGCCTTGGCACGCTTCTCCCGGATGCCCTTGTAGCGGGCCTCGCTGCGGGCCTCCCGCAGGCGGCGGTAAGCGGCCTCTTCGCCCTTGGGCAGCTCATCGCGCTTGACCTCAGTGACGGCCTCAGCGGCGGAGATGTTCTTGATGGGGAAGGTAGCGCCCAGCTTGGTGGTGTAACCCTCAGTCTTGCCCTCGGCGGCGAAAGCAGCCTTGGCAGCGTTGACCTCGTCGGCGGACGAGTCAAGCTTCTTGAACTGACCGCTCTTGCGGGGGAAGAGGATCAGGCGAGCCTTGTAGTCCTTGAGACGAGCGACATTGGCAACGAGCGACTCCTTGGAGTAGTTGACACGGCGGTGGTCAACGGCGATACCGACAGTGCGAGCGAGCTTCTTGGGGATACCAGCTTCCTATTGGTTTAAAAAAGTGTTGTGAGCCTTCGTCCAATTCCAGCCCATGCGGATAAAGAGTTAGGGTGGTAAACGAGGCACCGCTAACTCCCCGCTCTGTGCGAAGCAAGTTGAGGATGAATTTACCTTCAGCTCAGCAAGGGTGAAACCACGGCCGACACGGACACGGCGGTTGTACTTGACGGTAGGGCAGCGCACAACGGGACGCAGCTTGTCAACCGGACGAGGAGCAACAGCGGCGGCCTTAGCGAGACGGGCCTCACGACGGCGGTGCTTGCGGCCAGGCTATGGTACCCAAATGTCAGTCCATGAACACTCAAAGAAATTCTCGTTCGCTCCGTTCTGAGTTGGGCAATTCTGGAGGTGTCCAGTCGTCGTTTGAAGGTGCAATTCGGAAGGGTATAGGTTTCGGATTCGTACCTGGTCGAAGTGCACGCGCACACGACGCTGCCAGTCCTTGTGGAAGTCTAATATCAAAATCTCCGTCAGGCCATCAATTCTCAAAAAAAATGCGATACAGTCTGGATTTCCATGTCTCGTAAAAAAAATCCGGTTCATGAGGGCTCACTCACGGTGCTTCTGGAGTTGGTTGTTGTGCTTGATCGCCTATATCACCATCAAAAAAAAATCGAATCAGCATGCCAGCCCTTTCTCAATGTGACCATCGAAATAGACATCTTAACGATCTATCCGTATATTTGAAACAGCGAGGATAATATAACGCACCATTGTGACGGATGGAGATCAGAGCCGGGAGATTGTCGTCGTCGTCGTGGGTTGTTGCTGGTCGTGTCTCAAGACTCCAAAGAGTCGTTCAATATTGGGTGGAACTTTTTTGGTGTGGCCAACCGCGCAGAGCCGCACCGCCTCGCTTAGCGAGCCCTACCCTGCTTGCCGGATGTGGTAAGGTGTCATGATACGTAACTTTCAATACAGAAGATTTTACAGAATCCCAGCCCTGTTCGATTACTGCCATGTCTTCAGGATCGATTCAAGTCAGTCTTTTATTAGGTGTTGAATTCCTTGATTGTCCTATCATGACATACAAGCTGTGCGGCTCCTGTCATTAGATGCTTTGTGATGCTTGACGTTCATCTTCCGTATTGGAAGCATTGCAGTCTGTTACAGTATTACTAATCTAGGCAGGTCGGAAAGTTATTCTTACATTTACAAGACTCCTATGCCTCTCTACATGAATAGCAGTTGTTCAAGGCCGTCCCTGACATGCAGGGCGTTTTGCTAATATTTCATTTGGAAACTTCACCGATGTCCGAAAAGCAATCTGGAAAGGCAGCGGTGGCCGTACTGTAAACCTGATAATATCGAAAACAACAAAAGCTTCAGAAGCAGGAAGAGACGCCTAAGAGAACACCAATTCCACATGTCAGTCTTGTGAGGGTCATCAATCGTTAGTGCCCCCTTGCAGGGAGCAACGCGTAAATCAAAATCAAAGGCGCAGCTGAAGGCAAACAGTAAAGAGACATTCATGAATATCGCAGTGAATCGAAAGCAATGTCATAGCGAGTTCGGTCGCGTGGGTTACCGCGAGATCCGTCAAGGCAAGGAGCATAGTAAAGATTATGCACGTGTATACACAATCATTAAGTAGTCTACGCTTCAATACCAAGACCCACACCCTCAGCCGCCTTCGATTTCTTCGAAGCCGCACTATCGTCAATGCTGGCTTTGCGTTTTAGTCCGCTCGGTGGACGGTCGACGCCAGCCTTCCTCACCTGTCCGAACAATTTTGTCTGCAATAATGTGCTCGTCTTCGGGGCAATTGCCGCACTTCGAGTCTCCTGCTGGCTGATAACAGGGTCGGGACGAAGCATGCTGGTTGCAGGAGAATCAGCTTGAGAGGCTGGAATGTCTTCTTCTGTCTCGGCTTCTTCAATGTCCGAGGCAGAGATCGTGCTGTCGCGGTCACGCTGCTCATCCTGAGTATTCCTGGTCGGAGTGAAGAACAGATGTTCTCGGGGGTCGTCCGAGACTGCGACGGTGTCATGGGGAGCGAAGACAATGAATGTGTGCCCCGCACGTGGCCATTAGAATGCTGTCTTTGACGCGACCTTTGTGGAGATGATTGGAAATCCGAAGATCCTCTGTTGAGAACTCTGTCTGCAGCAAGAAGGGCAGCAAACGGGTGGCTTTCACCGCGGCTCATGTGTGGACTGGGACTGTCATGGAAGTGGGGAACTGGTTTTCTTTGAGGCGTGCGGGATTGAGTCTGAGGGCTCGGGGACATGGAACCACGTTCGATCATCCAAGAGAAATGCTCGCGGTTTTCTCTAATGCGCTTCTTCAGCAGATCATTCTCCTCCATGAGCAGCTCGGACTTTTCTTTCTCCTGCTCGATGAGTTTCTTCGCGCGACGCAGTCTGCGATCGAGCGTGGCATTGACTCTCTCCAATTCTTGATTACGCTTGAGGGCGGCCTCCAGTTCCGCGTTCGAGATAGGTTGCAGTGGTTTCACCTCGGACGGACCATGTCTATTTCGGTACTCGGAACTCTGAAGAATCTCCACCTCCCGCCTCGCTAGCTGATGTTCAACTTCGGCGCGCTTGATTGCTTCATTACTCGTGAAAGACAGAAGGCTATTCTGAAGTTTGAAATGCAGCGCCGACATGCGGGCTTCTTGCGCAACACTGAGGAGCTCTTTGGCGATTATACGCAGCTCGGGTTCGCCGGCAGTGTCGATATCACCGACCGACGGAAGATTCTCAGATGCACCGTATGCAGCGCACAGAGTCTTTTCAATATCCGGAGGAGATGCTAGGTATGTGGTCGATCGAGATCTTGACCGCCGCAAGGGAGCACCGGGCACTTGTGACGATGGGGGTGGGGTCATATCTGAGGAGGCCAATGAAGGTGGGGAGACGAGCTTGCGCTGATCGGTTTGGGAGACCTGGCTTTGGACTTTTTCATCCAGCTCAGGCGAAGCAGAAAGACTTGGCCGTCGATCCGGAGTGGCTGGCCCTGGAAGCTCCAAAGGAGGAGCAAGTGAGCTCTGCGATAACTGGGATTCTTGAGACATGATATAGTTGTGGCGCTCTGACTGAGATATGCTATATTCCGTGGGGTAGACCCTCGCACTGTAGGTGTGTTAGCATCACCCAACCACGTGGGGCTAGATCACTTGTTGTCAACAAACGAGCACATACCGGACTTGGATTTGGCACGTCAACACCCCACAGGTACGCCGGGTCGGTTGCGATAGATATTGTACTTGTGATTGAATGACAGCGTAAGGATGTCTAAGTAGAGGCGACAGCTGTCGAACGTGCTGACACAGAGACACAATTGCAAGCTCAGTCTAGTCCCCGGCGATGAGCAGTTGGTCTTATCACTGATAGCGCCGGTAGAAGCACGTTCTAATCAAGTACGGATAATAACAGCCGTGGACGAAGTCAGATATGGAGTAATTGATAGATCTTTTGCAGAATGATATAGGAGCAAGGGGTCTCAAGGACTGGGAATGAGGTGAAGCAATATTGTATGTGTGATGTTAGACGCAAGGATCGCGGCGTGCGGGCGATTTGATGCCTTAAAGGACGGGATGTCGCAAGCGGGAGTTTCGCACATCGGGGGCTGGGAGAGTCGCTTGCGACGCTTTCGGCCTGGACCAATTATGACCACCCGCCTCCACCCACGTGAGTCCAGCCGCGCGCCAAAACTCCACACATTCCGAATGAGGCTAGCATGGAGATCACTCAAGTTCGGAAAAAGGTAAACAAGAGCTGAACCTCCCTGGGCCATAGCTCGTAACTCAGGCAACGCGATACCTGACGTATTTACGGAGACTAGCTCTAAGATAGCACTTGATACTATGAGTCTTAAGTCTAATGAATGATGCGGACGTCATCGGAAGGATCGCAATACAATGACAGGGTTGGTCGAATATCTTCCTCGTTACTATGCCGGCTATGCTCCCTTACGATTACGATGAAGCATCAAGGCAACTGCCAGAATTAAACGCTAGACAGGGTAGAAGTACCTCAATGAGACAAAATTGGTCCTAATGTGCCATTTGTGACGAGCTATAAAGCATTAATATGGGGAGTATCGTGTATCCGAGGAGCGGCATAGCTTTACTAGGGATCTTCCTTTATCTCCGCGACGGTCAGATGTCCATATCCTAGAGCCCAGACTCTAGTACTATGCCGGTTTATAAACGGACCAGCCATCCACTGACGAACGCTCTTTGTTTGTTGCAGTTGCCGCGTCATATTAACGGATACAACAAAAGCGTTTTGTGGTGCTCTGAGTCCTCTCCAGCGGAATATAGAAACTATATATTGCTTCACGACTGCTTACCAACAAAGCAAGGTAACGAGGATAAAGCCCGTTGAATCATATTAATAGAGGTTAGTGAAGCATTAGATGTAAACACTGTACAGACAACAAGACAACAGGGTATAGAGGCACGTGAAGGCTCAAGTTATGTGCTTAATGGTACCTGAGGCTAACCCTTGGTGAATCTCTTATGGATCTGGGATCTGTCTCGGGATGCCGAAGTGGGGACCCCAGCGATTACTTGAGTTGGTGACGAATGGAGAGTGGCCTCAGGCACTATTATCAGGCACCAAGTAGTTAGTACAACAAAGTACTCCGTACGGAGTAAAATAAATAAACATCGATGTTGCCAACGAAGAGATATGGACAAGATTGACTGTTAGACAGCGTACAAGTCTGACCAAAGTCTATTTGCTTCCACGATTTTGTTCATCTGAATTTGCTCTGACTCTTGTCTCCCAATTCTAGACGATTACAGAATTTCTCAGGTCGAGCATGCGACGTCCTTACTGATATCATCAGTGATGCTAACGCATATCAACAATCGCATGCCCCTATAACTTTTGTCTGCGTTGACGGCAACCGAGTGGTCGCAAAATGGATCAGCAACAGAAAACACCAACTAGACCGAGTGGGATCCCTCGGCTGGCTGCCTCCAGACTGCCTTTGCCAACGTCCAGCGCTTCCAGATCCATCAAACCTTCCCCTTCCCGTGAAAAGTTGCGCGCAGATCCCGGTCTTGATGCTACAAGGCTCCGAAGACCGTCTGAGCAGACCGTTCTCAAGAAGCCTCCTCCAAAATACCCATTGTCGTACAGGACCCCGAGAAACATCGACAGAAGAGAGACATTTCCAACAGTGGACTGAGCGATGGTGGACGGTCGGAAAAGGCGGGAGACTCCTTGGAAGAAACCCCGATGCTGGGAACAGACGCCGCTGTGGTAGATGCAGAGCGCCGAGGTCGCGCTCGACCTTCATTATCGGAACGGACTATCGAGACATTATCCCGGATCCCTCCATCACCTGGCCCCTCGAGCAGGCAATCTAGTTTCTTCAATGGCAACAGCCCGGTACGGTCCCCGTCTCGGACACCATCTGTGATGGCCTCAAGATCACCTTCGAGGGCATCAACTACGCGGCGACCTAGCGATAATGATTTTCTTCCACAGCAAGCTTCTGCAATACAACTTCCCTCGAGGTCTAGGATATCACCCGCTCCAAGCTTGTCTTCAAACGACGCTTTTACCGGCCAGAGAACATCGTTGGCTGGTACCGACATTGCTTCGAACTTGAAGAAGCCATCTATAAGAGCAAGCTTATATAACAGGGTTAAGGATACGACAAGCAAATCGCCGAATCATCGCCCGGATCTGGGCAAGACGTCCGCAAACGCTACGTTTTCAGACATGGGACCTCCGCCTCCTCCACTCCATGTGAAAAAGACAAGGAGATCTCTGGCGAACAATTCCAGCCCTATAAATAATTCGAGAAAGCCATCAACCCAGCTGAATGCGCCGGACCTCTCAATAGAGCAACAGTCGGAAATGGAAATGAGAAAGGCTTCCAAGTCATCCAGCGCATTAAGGGAGAGCATTGCTAAGGCGAAAGCCGCGCGCAAAGCATCTGCAAGGCAGAACAACTCCCAAAACGGCTCTGTTGATGTCTTTGATAACCTCAATGTGGAAGATCCCTTCAATCAAAAGCCCAAAGACTCAAACAATGGGTTGCTCCGCAAGCGTGTGGAAGCAGGGCGGATCTCGGGTCATTTGAACATTGCGGCCATGTCATTGACAGAGATACCGAAAGAGGTCATGACTATGTATGACTTCGATCCTAACTCGACGACGGATTGGTATGAGAGCGTCGATCTTATCAAGTTCATCGCTGCGGACAATGAATTTGTTGAGCTGTCGGAGGCAGCCTTCCCCGACGTCGATCCGTTCGATATCGATTCAGACAAAGACGAACGAGGCAGTCAGTTTGCTGGACTGGAGATTATGGATCTTCATGGCAACCAGCTGCGCAACCTTCCAATGGGGTTCAGAAGATTGCAAAGACTTCACACTCTGAACCTATCCAATAACAAATTGGACGCGAAGAGCATTCAGATCGTCATGCAAATGGAGGCTTTAAAAGATTTGAAGCTAGCAAACAATCTCTTGGAGGGTTCGTTCTCCTCAGACGTGAAGAACCTTACCAGATTGGAGGTCCTGGACTTGCGCGGGAATTCTCTAACCGCACTGCCCAAAAGCCTTGAACATTTGGCTTGCCTTAGGATTCTAGATGTTGGTGATAATCAACTGACCTCTCTCCCTTTCGAGTCTCTTGGCATGCTTCCTCTTAGAGATCTCAGAGCCCCCAGGAACAAGTTAGCTGGGACGCTGATACCAGCTTCTCTATCGAAACTTGACTCATTACAAAACTTGAATGTAACCGGCAACGCGCTGACAGCGATATCAGAACGAGAAGACCTCGAAATGCCTAGCCTTCAAACCTTGTCCATCAGTATGAATCGCATAAAGCATTTGCCGAACATCAGCACTTGGAGCGCACTTTTGACTCTCTCGGCTGAAGACAATAGTCTTTCAGCAATCCCGCAGGGCTTTGTCGAGCTGCAAAACGTTCGCAATGTTGACTTCACGGGAAACAATATATCCAAATTGGATGAAAGGATCGGATTGATGGAGACTCTTTCCACCCTTCGCTTAGCCAACAATCCACTGCGAGAGCGAAAATTCTTGACTATGAATACAGATGATATCAAGCGTGATCTGCGAAACAGGTGTGAGCCAGAGCCTCAGGACACCGATGATGAAGAAGGCTCGGTCGCCACGCAATTCACTCTTGCACCAGAAACACCGGCTCAGATGACGTCGTGGCAGGTCAAACCGGGGGGAGTCCTTGATCGATCGTATTCAGAAATGTCAGAGGTGGACCTGAAGCAGTTGGAGCGGATCAACTTCAATGATATACGCTGCCTGTACCTGCAACATAACTCGTTGACCTGCATACCTGTGCTGGCTCTCAGCATACTAGCACACTGCCTGACAGACCTTGACCTCTCGAATAACCCTCTGGGCAGCTCATCCGTTCTCTCTACACCTCTAACACTGCCGAATCTCCAAATCCTCAATTTAAGCTCCGCTAGATTGACAACCATCGAGCCGATATTAGCCAATCTTTCGGCTGCATCTTTGACGACTCTGGATGTTTCGTACAACCGCCTTTCGGGGCCTCTTCCTGCGGTGCGCCAGGTCTATCCGAAGTTGATGACTTTTCTCGCAGCGGACAATGGATTTCAATCTTTGGAGTTCGAGGCTGTGCAGGGCCTCCAGGTGCTGGACGTTGGTAACAACAACATCAGCTCTCTTCCGCCAAAACTTGGCTTGCTGAGGGCCGAGGGTTGCAGCAAGAATTGGGGCACCGGCTCCCCTTTGAGAAGGTTCGAAGTAGCGGGGAACAGCTTTCGGGTTCCCCGATGGCAAGTCGTGGCGAAAGGGACTGATGCGATCCTTGACTGGCTGAAGGATCGTATTCGAAGCGAAGACCTTGCGGAATGGGAACCGGACGAGGAGTCATTGTGCAGGAATAAGTCCAGAGGTGAGGAAAACAAGACTCCGGAGTCAGAAATCATCTAGCGAATCTCGGCACCCGATCTTGGTCTTTTGACGGACTGCATTGATTGTACAGTGTATAGTTTCTTTACCCATCTTGGTGATCCTTTTTCCTATCATGTATATACGCCATTTTCACACTTACTCGATTCGGAGATTTTTTAACAGGGCTATCAGATGTTCGAGTTGCGAAAGGCCTTCTTGAATTGTGGCAGTTCTTCAACTGTAAATGTAATCCACGAATGGTCGCTTCTCCTTCCACGTATTCATTCATTCTTGATTGTCCGCCTCCACAGATTTGCTGACTTCATCCAAAACATTCATCCATGTTTTCGACCATATTGTGAACTTATCTTCCTTCTGCTGACTGTCGGGAGCGTCCACCGTATCCCAAGTCGGTTTAACAGAGTCGACAGCGTTCATGGCGCAGCGTTTAACCTTGCCGAGATATTGAGTGCATTTACCCAAGTCCTCCTCGTATAGGGCTCCAGCGACTTCATCTACATGCTCCGGGATGAGCTGTAAGTTCATCATCAAGCGTTCTAATCTGCCAATCCCTGAAGTAGATGAGCACGGCACATCGCCAGCGCCCTTCAGCCGATTCGCGACAATGGCAGGGTATATCTGAGCAATAGGCTTCAAAATCCGGAGAGTCGATTTCTTCTGCGCATGTAGCGCAGCGCAGCTGTCCTCGGTATCCTCCTCCTTCTCTTCGTCTTTTGTATCTTTCGCGCCATCATCACTCAAGAGATCATCAAAGAATTCGTCCCCGTCCTCTTCTGGATCCCAATCCTCAATCTCCTCCACTGCATCACGCACCAGATCCCGCCACTCTTCGACGCGCCGTATCACGAAACCAACCACACCTTTAGCCGCGACATCGATCAATGTGTCGCATGAATCCCAGACACGCCCTGTTGCGACTGTCACAGGATCCTTCTCCGCCTGCGAAAGTTCACCTCTTTTCTTTTGACCTTCCTTTGCCCTGTCCGTCTTTTCGGCAACAGCTTGAACCTCGGTTACCAAAAAAGTTAATTCCCTCAATGTACTTTTCGCCAAAGCGTGTATCTCCGCGTGGAAAGCCTTTGTATGATCGGTAGGAGTGACAAGGAGAGCCGCCGTTACGAGAGACGGGAGCACGGAACTATTCAATGCCGAAAGGACGGTGCCAACCGCCGAGTGAGTGAATGGAGAAGTTATCGTCAAGAGGGACAGCTTTGTGACCTGGGATTTCAATGCGGTAGCTGACGTGGAAAGGAGGGGAAGGGCATCTTTTCCCGAAAGTTCAGCGGGCTTGGTATCTCCGGCGGGAGCTGAAAGAGCTGCTTGGAGTTGCTCCAGGAGAGTGAGAGTCGTCGTCAGGCTGACCCGAAGCTGTTTTGCCATTCTGAGGGGGTTTGATGATCTGAATACCGATCTTGGCTTTGTTATTGCAGGTAATCACTGAATGGAGGAGAAATTTGTTAGAGATTGCGGGGCAACTACTGATTAGGGCTCTGCGGGGTCACCTGCGGTCAGAGCTGTCCAGTTGGCGCCGGCCTTGGCACTTGTGCTGATCATTGAAGCGTCTGTAACATTTTCTCAGTTGTGACGTCTGGATCGGACAAACTCCTTCGGGCTGAGCTGCGATATTTGTTATCAATCACGTACGCGGCTCTCTTTCTATTACAGCACCAGTCCGTCGTGAAGAACTTTTCAGATGATGTCGAACAACAGACCCCAATAAGTTAAAAAGAATTTTCCGTATGTTTCATTGACAGGATGGGCGCTACTAAACCTCGCATCTCCGCACGAGACTCTGCTCCGAAAGTCCAGTCGTTACCGGAGAAGACATTCGTTATCGACAATGGCGCATATACTATGAAAGCTGGGTATGCGCCCCAATTTCCACCTCCCGAAGATTTAGACCAGGCTCTTTCAGCCTGCAGCACAATTCCGAATGCCATTGCCAAAACACGCGGAAATCGTATCTACATTGGTGCACAGCTCAACTCGCAAGTTACCGACTGGAACGAGATGGTGTTCAGGCGTCCAGTGGAGAAAGGGTACATTGTCAACTGGGAAGCACAGAAGGAAATATGGGAAACCGCGTTCTTCGATGAGAAGACAGCACGGTCGAAGGATCTTCGGATTGAATCTCCAGAAGATACAACCCTCGTGCTTACTGAGGCACCGAACGCTTTGCCAACCCTACAGAGGAATGCTGATGAGATTGTGATGGAAGAATGGGGTTTTGGCGGCTATGTGAGATGTGTAGGTGAGCGAGCCGGATTTATTCCCCTGCTGTCTTACATCTGGTTATTGATGCTGATTTCCCAGGACCGATGCTGAATGCTTGGAATGAAGTTCAATCCTTGTTCGGAGACCCTATCGGACAGGACTCCTCGTCTCCGGTCTCAGCTAAGGAGTGCTTACTTGTCGTCGACTCCGGCTACTCTCATACAACAGTAACTCCAGTTTACAATGGGCAACCCATCCAGCGCGCCATTCGGAGACTCGATATTGGTGGTAAACATCTAACAAATTACCTGAAAGAGATGGTGTCCATGAGGCAGTACAACATGGTCGATGAAACTTACATCATGAACGAGGTTAAGGAGGCTGTCTGTTTCGTAAGCAATGACTTTGCTGGTGACTTGGAAAAGACATGGCAGGGCAACCGGAAACGTGGCTTGACAGACGCAGCCGAAGGGATCACAGTTGATTATGTGCTACCTGACCCTAACACAAGCAAGAAGGGCTTCATGCGACCGCATGATCCTCTTTTGAATGCCAAGAAGAGGAAGAGTATCCTTTCTGGTGGCAATGCTGAGGCTCTGTCCGAGGACGTGCTGATTCTGGGAAACGAGCGCTTTACCGTGCCAGAAATACTCTTCACACCAAGTGATATTGGTATGAAGCAAGCCGGTGTTCCAGACATCATTCTTCAGAGTCTTTCAGTTCTGCCTACCGGACTACATCCGTCGTTCCTAGCAAATGTTCTGGTCGTCGGAGGGAATACCTTGATTCCAGGGTTCTTGGAACGGTTGTAAGGCTGCTGTGTTACGATGATCATCACTTCCGGTTCTAACACCTTCTCAGGGAAAGCGAGTTGCGACAGATAGCTTCGGCAGAATGCGTTGTCAGAGTTCGGCGCCCTCATGAGTAAGTTCACCTTGACAGTTTCCCTTGGATCACGTTCTCATCAGCTTGACCTTAGCCCCATACGTTCCACATGGCTTGGAGCGTCACGATTAGCGACGAACAGAGACGAGTTGAAGAAACTCGCCATCACCCGTCAGGAATATCAGGAGTATGGCTCGTCATGGGCAGGACGGAAATTTTCTGGCGTTCTCTGAGCATAGCTTTGCTACCTGCGGGCATCCTCTCAATCGGTACCGGAGTATGGGGTTTCTATTGTGTATTTTGCATGACCGTTGTTGGGGTGTTCTTCAAATGCTGCATTTCAATGATACCCTTGATCTCGACAATAAACTGAATGATTCTGAGACTTTGAAGACTGAACGGAAATGTGCACATGTCGTAGCTAGAGATTTTGCCGGTGAGCAGTCTGTACTATTTTTGCTTTTGTTCTGTTCGCGACCCCATGGATGGCGCTGATTGTTCGCAGAATCAGCAGGCTGGCTTCCATCATGCGTCAAGATGATCTACGGAGTTCCCAGCAGTTCTTTGATGTAGAAGTCATCAGCAAGCGATGATATTAGTATTATTGTCGTACCCCGCACGGGCTGCTCCATCAAGGTTTACATGTCAGTGATTCTCACCTCCGCATTAGAGATGTTGATATCTGTGGTTCACTTCATCCTCTTTCTCTCCATATTGCAGTCATTATTGTACCGCCAGAACACCCTCCCCCACGCCGGAACAAGTACTCATTGGGTGGAAAGCCTCCATGTCAAATGACGACTCCTTAGAAAAACGGGCCGCGCGCATGAGGTTGAGAGACACACGAACCATGGCACTTCTCAGGCACCTGCGATAAACCCTCGGTTGAAGGTGCCATGGGAAGGGGTCATACCAGATTATTCTCGTCCCTTTTCAGCTCCGACTGACGAAATAATGAAGGACACATATCTATCAGAACCATACTACAGACTTCATCGTCATACTATCATGCTATAAGACCTGTGACTCGACAACCACTCTCTTGGCAATTGCCATGCCTCGTTTACGATCACCGAAGCAGTTCGAGGGCGCATATCGAGGTCGCCAGATTTGGTCGTCTTCAAGATAACTGTGGATATGATCATGAATCAATCGAGCTAATCATGCGTTCTATCACTCTATCATCTTTTATTTCCGGGTTCATTCAGAGCCGCGCTGAAGAGGAGCGACTGCTTGCTAGTGATGCTAAAAAGGTAGCTCCATTAGGAGCTGCTTCGGACAAGAAACCAATATCCACAGGCGCTCATCGTGCAACAAGCAGGCGAAATATGGATGTTCGTCCAGCGTCCGGAAAGTATGATTCGTACTTGCAAGCCCGTATCGCAGGGCTAAAGAGCCTTTGTGTCTTCACAAGACTTGGTGTCATTGAAAACATGGCGCGCCTTTGCCGAGGATTACGGAAGAAGGAGTAAGTTCATTTGCACAGCTTGGGTAGCTCTATTATTTACTAACTGCAAACAGACGTTGCACTGTCTGCTTTAACAGCAAATCTGCTAAGAATTTGGAGACTCTCCCTTGCCAGCACAAATACTGCGATTATTGTTTCAGCCGATTGGCACTCACAGCCATGGCAAATGAGCAGTTGTTTCCGCCGAAGTGCTGCTCGCAGGTGATTCCGTCCAAGCAAGTTTTCTCGAAACTGACCGAGAAGGAGAAAGCCCTTTTTAAGCTGAAAACGCGGGAGTATGCGACACCGGCCAGAGAACGCCGGTATTGTCCCGCGATGAGGTGCGGGAAATGGATACCGCTTGAAAAGTTGGAAAGTCAATCAGGGACACAGCTCTGCCCGTATTGTGGCACCGCCATCTGCCCGGGCTGTCGGGACAAGGCTCATGCACCTGGCAAATGTTCCTTCGACCCCGGACTGACTGAATTTCTCGAACTTGCCAGAACTCAAGGCTGGCAGAGATGTTTTCGCTGTGGGGCAATGGTCGAGCTTAATGAGGGCTGCCAACGTATAACTTGTAGATGTGGTGCAGATCTTTGGTCAGTACTGTCCCTTCATCCTGGCCATTCAAAATACTGACGCACCCAAGCTACAAATGTGGTGGACCATGGCTTATCTGCCATCACAACGCGTTAGGGAACGTAACCGCTGAATGCCAAGCCGGCGCGCCTCTCGGAGACGGATTGGGAACACATGATACAGGTGAGCTTGCTGCTATCGTGGCTGCCATGAAATTCGCCGAGAGAGAGCTGGAAGAATAGGTGTCGATGCCGAAGTCCACAAAGATCCATCGACGAAACTGGCTAATATATTGATTTGAGGCGATATGCTTTGTTGTACTATGAACCATTATTTTGCTAGATCCCCATGCTGAAGATGACTCTCGACGACCATTTACAATGAAACAAATGCAAATAACTGTTCCAACTCTTGAGATTTCAATGCTGGATATTCCGTCCTTCGGTAGATACGGTATATATAGCCATGTGGTAGCATACAGTAAGGGATATCACGTTATATGTTACTTCAAACATTACACTGAGTCACCAGGGTTAGTAGTCGTAAAAGCCCTTTCCGCTCTTCTTACCCAACCAACCAGCATCAACCATCCTCTTGAGCAGCCCAGACGGTCTATACTTGCTGTCTCCAGTTTCGTGATGCAATACATTCATAATAGCCAGGCAGGTATCAAGACCAATAAAGTCAGCCAGGGTCAAAGGTCCCATGGGAACATTTGTTCCATTCTTCATGATGCTGTCAATGTCCTCGCGGGCGCCAACTCCAGTCTCCAGGCAGATGATAGCCTCGTTGATGTACGGCATGAGGATACGGTTAGCGAGGAAACCAGGCGAGTCAGCCGAAACGGCTGCCACCTTGCCCATGCGCTGCACAAAGGCAATTGCGGTGTCTATGGTCTCCTTGGACGTCTGCAGGCCAGCAATGATCTCAACACCCTTTTGGACAGGTACGGGGTTCATGAAATGAGTGGAGATCACACGGGAAGGAGCCTGGAGATCTGTCGGATCGGCTGTGGTGGCAGCAGCGATCTTAGTGATCGGGATAGACGAGGTGTTTGTTGCGAGGATGGCATGCTTAGGGGCAATTTGAGCGAGCTTCGAGAAGATGGAGGTCTTGAGGTCGGGGATCTCGGGAACGGCCTCGATCACAAAGTCCACGGACGAAAGATCGTCCATGTTCAGACTGGGAGTGATGCGCGCACGAACGGCGTCGGCAGCTTCCCGAGTAAGGCGCTCTTTGGAGACATCCTTCTGAAGGAGCTTGTCTGAAGCGGAACAGATTGATTGTTAATTGGAATATCCCTGGAAATTACAGAAGTGTAGTGGACAATTGGACGGTATCCAGCATACCGGCAAATATGAGACCCTTGTCCAAAGACGCCTGGGAATTGTCGATCAGGGTAACAGGAACCTGGGCCTTTGAAGCAGCAACAAGAGCAATACCTAGACCCTGCATCCCACTTAGCATCTGACTGACGAAAAGTTACAGTATAGAAGCATGCTCACCATTTGACCAGCCCCAATCACACCCAGGGACTTAACCTCGGCAGCATAGGCGGCGGTGGAAGTGCTAAAGGTACGAGAGGTAATTGACGAGCCTACGCGGGCCACACCCCGGACTGAAGCTGAGAACATGGCGGCAGACGATGGTAATTGCGTCCTAGAGAATGAAAAAAGAAACTGAACGCAGACAACGAAAGAAAAGTAAAACGAAAACAGCCGAAGATCTATCGGACACTGGCTTGTCTTCCCCATATACACCCGACCCATGTGATCCGACGTCATCGGCTATCTTCGGCCTTCGGGTAAATACCTTCTCCGGTAAGCCGAGGCTGGACTAATAAACGCGAAACGCGTGAGATAACGCGTTAACATTGGCTGCTGCTATGGGCGCGAATTAAAGGTGGGCTTTTCATCACTATCAATGTTTATGGTGATGCTATCGGTCTGCTAGACAACAGCGTCGGCAGACGACCGGAATTGAACCGACGACTATGGATGAAGAAGGTGCGCCGTTGAGCGAGAGTGTGCAGGTCGTAGACCCTGATGTCCGCGCTCATGTTTACAGCCTTGTTACTGCAGTAAGTAGACTCGATACCCTCCTTCACAAGAACTTGTGCTAATATCTGCAGCTCGGAGGTTTCAATGGCGAGAGCGCGGACCGCTACGTCTTGGGTGACGATGCACTGGCCTGTCTACGAGATATCAAGCGTTGGTTGAAATTATACGATGAAAAGAACAATCGCATGGATGTTGCACGATGTCTGGGGGAAGCGAATCTCGTCAACGGCGACCTGTTGCCGATCTTGACCCTCTGGTCGACAAGTGGTCAAATGAGCAAACACATGTCGAGGATTGCATTGGCGTGCCGTAAGTGAGCTTAATGGGTACGGACAGGAGCTCGATGATCCGTGATCTGACGAAGGACAGTGGAATTGTTGGTGCCTCTGACATGGCCATTGGAGGTACACAGTGAAATGACAGTCAACCATCATCGACACACGCCGTATTTGCAACAAGCCCAGGTTCTCTATAAACGTGGTATTCTCAGTCATGGTAGCGACAGCATCCTCCGAACCATCATCCGAATCGGCCTCCCCAGCATGGCAGTCCCTCGATCCGAACGAACGGCTCGGGATGAAGGCATCCTGAAGCTCATGCTATACTTCCTTCGAAATATCGCGGTGATTTCGCCGAATACGCGCCTTGCGGCGGAGGGTGATGAAGAGGAAACGTCAAGATCGGCGACCATCAATGCTTTTCAGAATCAAGATGCTTTCGCTCTTCTCCTAACCATGTGCTCCAATGTAGGAGAAGATTTCAGCCTTCAAGATGTGGTCCTCCTCGAAATACTATTCCACATTGCCAAGGGAGTCAACGTGGAGAAACTCTTCATGAACGACGCCCAACGAAAGGCAAAGCGCACAGACGAGCTTGGTGAACTTTTACAGAAGGAGTCCTCTCTGCGGCGGGAATATGCAAAGAACGCACCCACTCGGCATGGTAGGTTTGGGACAATGATTTGGGTCAAACGCGATGACGCCAAGGTCTCCACAGTGTCGGGACAAGATGTGCTCAAAGATAGCCAGACAACCCTTCACAAGATGGATCAGAGCAAGAAGTGGAACAAGCCTCAGATACGTCGAAGAGCAGCCGAAGTGACGGCAAACAACGACTTTAACACGCCCGTCAATCTCAACTCGACCGCGACGAAGAACCTACGGATGTTTGTAGAAGAGTTTTTGGATTCTGGCTTCAATCCGCTTTTCACTCATGTTCGAAAAGCCATTGAACGTGAAGCTGATCGAGTCATGGATATCAATACACGACAATTCTTTTATACCGTTGCCTGGTTTCTTAAAGCCGAGCGTGTGCGGCGAGCACATCAACGCGAAAAACGGCATCTGGGTGACAAGTCGTTGAAGGAGATAGAACCCGATAGCTTTGCACTTGTTGCCAGTGTCCTCAACCAGGAAACATTTGTTTTTCTGAACCGCTCAATGCAGTACAGCTATGACAACAAAGACGTGGAAGACCTCACTGCAGAAATGCGCTGTTTCACGCAGATTCTGTTGACTGTACAAGAGATGGCTCAGTCACCGCTTGAAGAAGATCAAGAGATCGCCGACAACATCCAGAACCGAATTTTCTATGAAGAGATTACCCATGACCGCATCATCGCCATCGTTCGTGGGTACAAGGACCAAGGATTTGGCTACTTGGATGCATGCACAGAGCTTGCTCATGTTTTCTTAAAGATGCTGGAGCATTACTCCAAAGAGAACGTGGATATGCAGATCCGATCCCGTCGCCGCGCAAAGCGCAAAGCCAAACAGGCAAAACAGGCCGATATCGAAGGCGATGACGAGGAGCAAGCATCCGAAGAAGAAGACTTGATGGACGCCGAAAGAATTTCGAAGGAGCGCAAATTCGATTTCAAACGCTTTGCCGCCAAGTTCTGCAACCAGAGCTGTGTTGACACGTTTATCGCTTTTACCAAGTACTATAAAGAACTGAATGTGGACCAGTTGAAACGAGCCCATCGTTACTTTTACAGGATAGCTTTCAAGCAAGAGATGAGCGTTCTACTTTTCCGCCTTGACATCATCAACCTCTTCTATCGCATGATCAAAGGTCCGGGTGCCTTGGATTCAAACAAGCCGATCTTCAAGGAATGGGAGGAACTGGTCCGGCAGATTATTCGGCGCATGATCAAGAAGATTGATCAACGCCCGGCTTTGATCACAGAGCTCCTGTTCAGTAAGATCAACTCGACCGTCTTCTACCTGGAATATGGGCATGAGAAACAGACAATATCCGCCTCTAAAAGACCACCGGCTGAGCTCGAAGTTGACCCCAGAGAAGCCAAGACAACGGACGAGAAAATAAAGATTGTTGTGCATGTCATGGCCAAGGATGAGCACACTTACCTGGTCAAATGGGTCAGTGATGTCTTAACTTCGGCAGCCGATGAGAGAGAGGCCTGGGAAAGTCAGGAACAGCACTCAGAAGGACAAAAAGCTCCCGACCCAATGATTCGTACGTCTTCTGATTTCTTCTAGCTGGTCGTACGGTGACTAACATGAAACAGCTGTCAAACCCAACAACGAGTCATGCCAGAAGGCCATGTTCTCCAACGCCAAACTACGTCTCCTTTTGACATTGGCTCGCTTCGAGCGTCTAGGCATGGAGGATGTTCCTGGAGCCTCCTGGATCGTCCCTTCATCACTCACCTCTCAAGATCTTCGGCACACGAGATCCATCATTGAACAGTGTTTGACTGAGCCTGTCACAGAGAACGCTGACCGGGATTTGAGCCAGTTGATAAGGAGAAAATCAGGAAACAATACAAGACGAGACAGAGATGACCAAACGGCCGACGTTGATTTTGGGTCCGATTCTGAGGGCGACGACAACGTCCCAGACGGGCCGCTATTCCCACCCAACCCACGTTCAAGGGCTAACGCTCTCGAGCAATTGAAGGAACAGCGCAAAAAGAGACGCAAGCAAGCTGGAGAAGATGAAGAACCCGACGAAGAAGACTTGGAGGAACGACGTCGAGCACGCCTGGAAAATGCTCTAGCTCGACAAGCGAAGATAAAGAGCGATCTGTATATCCACGCCAGTGATGAGGAAACAGATGAAGAAGCAGACCAGGAGTTCTTTCGACTTGAGGAACAGAGACGAAAGGAGCAGGCAGAAAGAATCAGGAAAGCTCTGCTTCACGGGATCTTCGAAGATGTTAGCGAGAACTCGCGGAAGAAAGGTAGTGGGCGCAAGCGGCAAAGCGATCAGCACACTGCCTCGACCGCAGATAGTCAGAGCAAGCGACAGCGACGCCAGCAACGGACTGAAGGGCTCGATGACGATGATGATCTTGTCATGACCGGTACGGACGCTCGGTCGCCAGACTCTCTCGGACAAGGCTCACCTTGTCTCCAAGGTGCTAACGACGTCGAAGACACACCTGTTACCTCCGAAGAAAATGAACTCGATTTCGACGATGATTTAGCTTTCAGCCGGAATCGTAATAGAGACAAAGTCCTGAGTCCGGAGAACGACGACAGCGATACCGAGCCCCCTGCACCTGATACTATAGATGAAGATGATGATGAAGCAGCACCTGTCGCTGCACCGCCTCGGCGAAGAATGCGGGCTGGGTTTGTCATCGAAAGCGATTCAGATTGAGATGTATACCTATCATGTTGTAATGATTATTGCATGCGGTGTTCGGGATGGGTCTTGATGGGCATGGGAATGAATGTACATTTTCGCATATATACCGAATCACGAAGTATCCATATGTAGATGCTCTGCTTCCACTGAGTGACCAGGCTCGAGGTGCTCATATTAACACTTCCAATCGAGTGTCTGACAATCGACAGCAATCGACAAGGCACCATGTCTCATCTCCCATTGTGTCCGCCAGTATCTCGAAGGTGCGGCACATCCAAACCCTAAGGTATTTTAGACCGAGTAAATATTTTGACAACAATTGGAGCTCCATCTAACCCAAATAAGCAGCTTCACATCAAATTATCGACGTTTGGCCAATGGCATCTATCTTCTGATAGCAGCGAGTAGCATTACGAGACCGCAACACGAGCGTTGTCGCGATGAGTCACAGATCCATGGACGAAGCGGATAAGAGTCCCTCGATCCCAATGCGCTTCTCCTACTCAGTTTGTATCATCAAAGGCGCAAATCAAGACTCCTCCAGCAGCTTGGAATTTTATCTAACTTCAAACAAACCAATTGCCACTCTATCATGACTGAACAAGTCCGATTTGTCACTTTGGACGTCTTCACGTCACAGCCGTATGCCGGCAATCCACTTGCCGTGGTGTTCCTCCCGGACTCAAACAAGCCGGCTCTGACACAACAGCAGAAGCAGTCAATTGCGCGCGAGTTCAACTTGTCAGAGACCATATTTGTCCACGCTGGTAAGGGAGAGAAACGCACTATCGACATCTTCACCCCAGACAGCGAACTCCCATTCGCAGGCCATCCCACCATAGGAGCTGCCTGCTGGTTTCTATATCTTTCGCCAGACGAAGGAGACAAGGAAGCCGTCAAGGCCCTGACCACCAAGTCGGGGGATATCCCCATATCGCTGCAATTGCGACAGCCGTCACCTGCAGTAACTGCTAGAATCGCACATAATACGCGGCTGCACCAGTCCAGATTTCCGCTCCAGCAACTGCTCCGATTGCACCCTTTCTTGTCTGGCTTTTTCGGTATAACCGGTACCGTGGAGCCAGCTTTCCCCATTTTCTCTATCGTCAATGGGATGAGCCAGGTCCATGTCGAGCTGCCCTCTCTCGAGGCTCTCGCTGCCGTCACCACGGCCTCGGGAGGTGAGGTTATCTCTGCGGGCTCTGGCTATCTGGATGAAGGTTGGGATGCAGGTCTCTGTGTGACGTACTTTTATGTACGCAATGTCAAGGACCCACAGACTGGTGCAAATACTATTCGGACCAGGGCGATTCTCGGAAACCTAGAAGATCCAGCAACAGGAAGTGCGGCCAGCGGTCTGGCGGCTTATCTGTCTTTGATGGAGGGAAAACCTGGTCAGTATAAGTACAACATTGTGCAAGGAGTGGAGATTGGCAGACGCAGTGAGATTGGGGTAGAGGTTGTGGTCAACCAGAATAACAGGATCGACACTGTTGAGCTTCAGGGAGGCGCTGTCAAGGTATCCGAAGGAAGCATTCTACTGCCTCCGAAATGAGTCAGTGCCTGATTAGGCGCGAACGGGTTCACTCCTGGGCTGCAATATGACGAGATGGCAATGCATGGTTTGTCTGAGCTGCGACGAGTTCTTCGAGTATTCTGCGCGATGCTTCTGATGGTGAGAGCTAGTGAATGAGAATGAGCCCACGTGAAGGGCATACTACTATTCAAACTTGGTTGTCAGGTAGACTCAAGGCAATTCACTACAGCTGCTCTCTCAAAACGGATATCTCCGGTAACCATGTACTGTCATCCTCAGGGTAAACGATGATAAATACTACTGTCCAGCCTGTTCTTTCTCTTTATCGATCTCACCATCTACATCTCTCTCCACGGCACATATTACTATCTTCAAAACATATTATCTACCCTATCGAAATATTCTTCTAAGCACAATTTATCTATCCTCATTATTCTAATCTTGACTGCATCCTGCATCGAATCAGGTCATGACAGAGAAGCGAAGCCGTAGGGCTTCTCTGTTGGGATCCCTTCAAGTCCTTCGAAACAAGGCTCGCGGTGGAAAGCACACTTATCAGCGACTGGGCAGCGAGAGAGACAGCGGTCCAAAGGACAATGGCCAAGGTGGACGCGTTTTCTCATTTGGCTCATTCATTCCTATCAAGAATGAAAGCTCAATCCTGAACTCGCTCAGAGGAAAGAGTCGCAACTCTCAGATACACGAAGCATGGAATTCTCATCGTCAAGTCTCAATGCCCCTACCTACCAAGTCTTCCTCATTTGTCCCTGAAGATTCGAAAGAAAGAGCAGCCAGCAGTGGGAAATCTTACAGAAAGATCAAGATATCGATCCGCCGTTTGACAGCAAGAACTAGTCCTTTTTCCCCTCCACCAAGCAGTCAGACGTCTTCGAGATCCACCAGTTTCACCGGCTCAACTTTGACTTCATCGTCCGAAGACACATACTCGAAGATTCCGGTCCCTACTGAACCTCTGATCAATGGTATTTACTCTCGCGAAGCGTTTCAAAAGGAAGGAAAACGGAGCGTGCTGTCATCACTGAGCAGGCGTTACACCAATCTCAGACTGAACGCGAGCAAGGATGAAAACAAGTCCATCTCAAACATTGGAAAGAAGAAAGAAGATGAAGAGTTTGATATCCCTACTCCTCCTCGGCTGGTCAAAATAGCTCAAACTGTTCGATATGTTCGACCTACCGAACCTGTTCGAGTTGACCGAATCGGCAGACCTGTCCAGGCAGTGCAAGTTACCCAAACTACTCAACCTATTCAGCCTGCTGTGAGTGTTGAGCTTGCCGACCCTGTTGAGAATGTCCAACCGAGTGCTGGAACTACTTCAGTCTGTCAAAAATGTCTGGAACAGAAATCCAAGCAAACCGATATGGTCGAGCAGCACTCTGAGATTGCCTTGGACTCGTCATCGAAGAAACTTCGCTCATCAATCTCACGAACTGCTTCGTGTTCATCTTCGAAGGCTGCATTGGCTCAATTGGTCCCTCCGCGCAGTTCTATACCTGTTCCTGCTAAGATCAGGTCTCCCGCAAAGCCATGCGCTCCTGCCTTACAAGATGGAAGAAAGGCGTCAGATGAGCAAGGAATAACCAAGAATACAAGAGGAAGCGCCATCACTGTTCCAAACAATGCCACTGGACTGGATGATAAGAGAGTACGATTCAGCGAACCTCTTCCACCAAGACAGCAGACCTTCACTCACCGTCAGTTGTCCGACAACCAGCCCGCCTTCATATACAAGATAACGAATCGCAACTTAAGAAGCATGAGCGACATGCAGCCCAAGAAACTGCGGATGAGCAGAAGATTCGCCAACCTGAAGGCTGTTCAGATTGAAGAAGAAGTCATTTCACAGCTAGCATCCGTTGACGACCAAGAGCAGAGCGTTTCCAACTCGAGTCAACAGTCCGAGCAAACTGCAAAGGTGCCAACGACCAGAAACAAAGATCGCAATCAGAGAATGGTACTGCCCAGCGATGATAATCACACAGGCAGAATCCCACGCAACAAGCACAGAACGCTAACCACGACTACTCCTGCTGGCTTCCAGGTTTCCGAAGCGCAGCCCCGTCAGTCTTGGCTTGGCCGTTTCATGACTCTCACCAACGCGTTCCACTACGAAGATTCTTTCAATGAGCCCGATATCGCCACTGGGTTTGGCATGCTGTCGAGCTACTCCCGGCCGCTGGGTCAACCCGATGCGAACCTTGCGAACTATCGTGTCAAGCGCGCCTTCATGGTTCTTGAGAATGTCTGCGTGACGGAGGAGGCGTCTGCTAGTCTGAGAGAGTTCAGGGACGAGTACATTGCTATTCACGGAGATCGTTGGATGTTGTGATGAGGTTCTCTTGTGAAAGATTTTGAGGGATGAAAGGTTGTTTGTGCGTATTCATCATGTGATGGTCATTTGAATTATGGGTATCTGGGCCACATCAATGCGCTGGGCTGGGGAGTTTGGGACATGAAGGCGTCGGGATACACTGGACGTATGCCTATCTGTTGGGAAAGGCGATTAATCGGAGGAGTTATTGGTTGGAAGTGTTGACTGCAAATTGCTGTACTTAGGATGACACCGGAGTTTGATATTTACATGGTTTTCTAATGATCATTGCAAGCAGCCTGTCTGATGCGTAGAATTTAGTATAATCCCGATTGATTAGCCAGTCCACAACCGCAGAGGCCACAGACCCTTTATAATATCCGCAATAATCAAGAACAGATCTTCCCAACGCCATATCATGCTTGTCAAAGATTGCATCATAGAAAGTATTTTAGTCCGTGGGAAAATATCGCCTAGGCCGGTTCCCAGTCCGCAAGGTTACTTCCTCCTGCTCTTCAAGAAAGCAGCAACCTGGTGATGTCGAGTGACAAAAAACATCCGCTTGCGATCTGATTTCCAGACCAGAACGCCGATCTCCTCGGCATATCGACACGGGGCCTCATATTCGGCCAGAGTGTTGAAGTCCCTAAACAAAAAGCCGTGTGTCGCTTTGACACGATCTCTCTCGAGCTGCCAAAGACGAATCTGATCCACGACGGTAGGCGGTAAGACGGACAGGGGCATTCCGGCTTGATTGGAAGTAGACCTAGACACATTGTGCTTGCGCATTTGTGGGTGTGCGTGTGTCGATAGGTAAGAGATGATTTGATCGGCGGTAATGCCCATCTCGACTGCACGACGGACGGACTGGCGGGTGATTTTACCTGTGATCAAATTCGGGAAGCGATATTTCAATGTGCTGAAAAGTGCAATGAGGGAGATCTGGAGCGGTGAGGAGGTATATGCGTAGAGTCGGTAATTTGTTTCGATGATAATGAATCCGGAACCGGCTTTGCTCGAGGCTGTGCCCGTAGGTCCAGAAAGGGAGCCAGCGAGAGGATTGCTCAGAGTGCTGGAGTCGGATGTCAAGGTGGTTGCGAGGCGCGTCGGGTAGAAATGCGTGGCATCCGGGGTCTCTTGGTAGACGATACCAAAGTCGGCCAAGTCGGTCAGAGTGCGCAATTGGTTGGACGTCAACTGCTTCTTCTCATACGATTTTCCCAGTTCCAAACTGCTCAAGAAGAACACAAAGGAAAGCACCTCGACGCTGTCCATGCCGATGGCCGCTGCGCTCTCAACATAAAGAACTAGGATATGCCATACTTGAGTGCCAACGTCCTGCAGAACGAAAGCGAATCCGTCCTGAGTAATTTCCACTCGACGATCCCTGATCTCGACGAGGTGGCCGGCCTGCAAGAGTTCCTTCACGCCTTTGCTCAAACTGACGTCGCGTTGCATACCCAGTCCACTTGTTCCCACCATGTATCCCAGAACTCCTTCCCACTGCCGTCTGGCATACTCGTCCAGGTCCGCGATGGAGACAGCTTCTTCGTCAGATATCTGGGACAAAACACCAAACGATTGAGTTTGCTCGGCACCGGTGAGAGCCTGCCGAAGGGAGGATGCAAAAGGATCGGTGACAGTGTATGCTTTTATGTTATCCGACGTCGTAGTGCTGGTCATAATGTGCAACCTGCCCAAAATTGAGAGCGCATTATCTCGCTCTCTTCTGGGAGTCAGCGACTATATTTCCAGATACTTTCACTTTGAGAAAGTGGTGATACTCACTTCAAACTGTCTGGCCTGACCCAAGCCTCCAAATCCGCTGCTGGAAGTGGGTCCTTGAGGTAGAGAAGCGCCATCACAAAACATTTTGCTGTCATATGTCAGTCCAAAAAAGGGCTCTCTGTATGATTATGAGGCAGGCACGTACCCAGGTCAGGCAGCATGCGCCTGAAAATGGCGAGAGCAGTGGAGGGCTGCTGGTAGAGCTTGTTAAAGACAGTTCCAGGCAAGCTCTCCAAGTAATCGAACGGACGGGGTGGTGCCGCAGCCATCTTGCCTGCAGGACCGAAAATAGATTGTTATCTCTGCAGCATCATCAAGCGCTGTCACTAAGAAACCTCAACGATGAAGGGTGAGGATAACTGGGTAGTCGTGAATTCTGGGTCTGATTGGAGAAGTTGCAGCAGATATTGTCCGGTGACCATAGCGGCCACAAAGCGCAGTCGGCGATGATCTCACTGTTTAGCTTCTCCATAGCTTAGAGCTGATACGTGACGCTTCATAGTCCATCCCTAATTCATTTCCTATTCCTCATCTCCAATTGCACTTTCGGCACTGAGTAAATATGACAGCTTTGCGGTTTGTCAGATCTGTAAGTATTAGATTCCTTTAATCCGAATTATACTTCCGTAGTAACCGTTTTGTACAGGTCTGGGAGTCCTTTCGGGCTACCTCAGGGTTAGAGCCTCGGTAAGTACGGATAGAGGGGTCATATAGACACTCGACCAAGACGGTCGCTGACCATATCTCTTGAGGTCACAGCCTGCTTGACAATGTAAGCTTAGCTTCTGGAATCCATCGAAGATTGCGATTGTTGCCCCTCCGATCCCACTGGCGATTAGCATCGGACAAGCGCATCGGGATATACTAATAACCGCCTTAGCTCCGTGTAACTGCTGCACGACCTGGAACTGTCAACTTTGAGCTTGATATCCAGAAAGAGCACACGGTAAGCCTCCCGCTTGCGTCTTGCTCTTTGCCCTACATTAACAATGTTGCTAGAATAGACTTAGTATCCTTCATGGAGGGACAATAGCCAGTATGGGTACTGTATACCGATAAGACCCGTCACCCTTTTTGCCATCTCATTGACCCTTGAATCAGTGGACCTTGGCGGCTCCCTAGCCGTCGCTTCTCGAGGCTTGTTTGCGACAGGCGTCTCGACAGATCTTAATGGTATGCCAAACCCGATGTATCGAATAGGTCCAAGTTTGCATTTATCCTGATACGACCTTCTATCACAAGTAACTTACCTGAGTTCTGGAGGCAAAGTTGGGGACAAAATCCAAGCGGTTCGTTTTCCAAGCTTTGCTTAGACCACGCTCTTTACAGGACTACTAACTTGCGTGCAGGAAGTCACTTGCGATAAGTGTAAGTCTCCTATCAATGGCCAGAGGACTAGTCCTCCCCGGTCTATGTCATCCTAGACCCATGCGAGTTCTTGTCATCGATATGCCTAACCAAGTGGACAGTTGGGAAAACCCTAGCATACACAAACATCAAGTTCATGAACTCGAAGGGTGAGGTCTTCGCAAGAGGCAGTCATACAAAGTACGTGTTCGCGCTCTACCGATAAGACCGTTCGATTAGCTGACAGCTTTGACCGGCAGGTACATTGCTCTCGCTTGGAAAGACCCCAAAAACATTGTTGAGGAACTCGAAGGACGCAAGGAATCGTAGAAAAAGCGTCCTAATTTGCCGACTTACACTCTTAGAGTTGATGAATCCTCCCATCACGGCTGAGACGCTCAATTCAGGAGGCATATATATACGTATGGTCCCCATTTTAGAGAATCTGAGAACTCTCTCTAGATCGAAATGACTCAGGAACACCGCCGTTGTACATGGGAAGAATGAACATCTTGTACATCTCTCATAGCCCCGAACTTATTGACCACGCTTCGGAATTTACTTCATTTTAGGGGCCGGGGAAGCGGCAGGCACACGGCGTCGTAAGGCACATCGCACTGGTTAAGTCAAAAGCACCACGAATATATGGCTTATTATACCGGATCAGGTGCCGAATATATATACGAACTTTGAACGCAACCCTACAGGCAGGCTACACCATTGGGAGCAATGATGATGTCAAGCTGTTGGCATCAATTAAATTCTGCCACGGCTATTCAAGTCTGCTCATGCAATGGGTCCTCCTCGGGCTCATCGCCCGTTCCAAGCATAACTTCATCCTCGTCCAACAGCTCGTTTTCCCCGTCAGGCATTGCATCGTCTACTATGATGTCTTGATCACCCATGGCCTTAACCTTGGCCTGAGTCATCTCAAACACATATTGCCCGAGATGTTCGACTCCCTCCATAGGCGTACCCTGAACCTCGTCGTCCAGCGATCTTGTGGTTGGGAACATTTCGCCCGTGGTCAACATGAGTTTGTCAGGGCGCTGTAGGAGAAGGTCAAAGGCCGGCTTGAGTTCATAGCATGACTCGAACACCTCGCGACGACCGAGGATATAGAGACCTAGACGGGAACGAGAAAGAGCAACCGTAAGGCGGCGAACGTCACGGAGATAGCCCACTGTGCGCGTTCGCGTAAGGGAAAGAATAACGTCTGTGCAGATCCCAGATTAGCATAACTCAACGCGCGAGATGGTTCAACTTACAGTCGTTCTGTTCACCCTGATACTTATCCACAGTTGTCACGATCTTGGGCATGCCAAACAAAGCATTTTTAGCACACCGATGGCCAAGAACGTCTTTAATCAGGGCGGTTTGGCCGGCGTAGGTAGCAAGGATGGATATCTTTGATGCCGGGTACCCGAGGAGCCGCATGTACTGATAAATGGCGACAGCGTACTCGGCTTCTCCAAGGTTCTGGATGAAGTGAGGGGTCGGCTCCCTTTCACCGCTGCCTTGATAATCCGGGACGTTGATGAACTGATAGTCGTACTGAAAGCCAGCATTCGCCTGCTTGTATTCTTCAGCCGTGTGAACAATGGGCAAATCTCCTAGCTGCTTATAACGCCACCGGAAGAGCTCTGCCAAGCTAGGTCTTGCTCTGCCCTGCTGATCAAGATTGATCACAGGAACACCGAGTCTTACCAAACGTAGGAAAAGGCTCTGCTCGAAATGGGCGTACTGGCGGAAAGCAAGGTTCTGAATAATCGGAGAGTTTTGAAGGTGATCGCCGCAAAGAACCACGCGTTTCAAAGGAAGCTCGCCATTCTTCATGTGTTGTAGGGCGGATGGAACAAAACTTTCAACCTCGGTAATCTGCGCCGCCTCTTCCATCACTACATTGTCATAATGGAAGCCAAGGTCGGCGATTTCCTGTCGACGCATTGCCGCATGTGTAGATGTCATAGCAATGATTCTCGCTTCTTTCACAAGGAGGTAGTTTGCCTTGTCGCGGGATTGCCTCAAAATCTCAAATGGGCGAATATCCTCTAGCTCAGAGAAGATCTTGTCGATATGCCGTTGACAGCCTTCCGCCACATCAAGCAATGTCTCCTTCGAAGCGGCGGGATCGAACACAGGCTGAGGGGCAGTTGAGAAATAGGCATGGAATGGGAAAGACGCAATTATATCCTCGGTAGTTGTGCTTGCGGCACGAGCATGGTCGAAGAATTTCGCCCAGGCTGGCTGGATGTAGACTGTATTGAAATATCCAGCCGTCTCGCATGAATTGCCGTGTGCGCCTTCTGCACCAATCGATGCCGCTAAGCGTGTCACTTCAGCGAGGAAGTAATTGCGGTTTTCTAGAAATGACTCGACACGGCCGTATTTGCTGTAACTAGTTTCGGTTTCAAGTTCCTCTTCACCATGGCCGAGTCGAAGAAGATGACGTTCATCGATGTCTAGGGCCACAATCTTCTGGAACAACTGATTAAGAGCTTGGTTACTGTGCGCGATCAGAAGGGTACGCTCCTTCGGGAAGTCATGGTAAATATTATTGATGATTTGAGTTGCAACATCCGTTTTACCAGTTCCAGGAGGGCCAACAATCACAGTCAGTCCGGGCTGTGTGCCGGATGCGATAGCTTCGACCTGAGCTGGGGTAAAACGAATGGCGTTGAGCTTAGGAGCATCGACGGGATAGGGACCTGGGTTCGGCTGTTTGTATGTCGACACGCGGATCACTCGTGCACTTGTTCCTTCCTTTTCAACCGGATCTCTCCGCCGCTTCTTCGATGATGTTGTTGAAGGCGCTTTGGAAGAATTTTCAACGTATTCAATCACGTATGGGGGCCCGAAACTCGACGCCTCATTACCCGAAGGCTCAATGGTGCACCCTGGGAAACTCTCCACTAGGTGCTGCCAGTCCAAGAAAGTGTCTCGGAAGTCAACCGACCTCAGTCGGTTGGGCAGTTCAGTATACCTGGCACTTGCAGGGTCGCCGTATCCTAGAAAGATATCCTGAATCCAAGAAGGAAGGGTAACATCAGAGACAATGAGTCTCTGCATGTTCTCAAGTATCGACCTGAAATTGTTCTCCCGCCCTTTCCGTCTTGCAATCACGTTTATCAAAGGATAAATGTCCTGTTTCCCTTGGGAGGTGCGATCCTTATCAGCCTTGAAAGCGGACGGATCCAGATTGAGCAGCAATCTCCGGAGGCGAGGTCGAGATTGATATCCATTCGTGTGGCCTGCAACTGGCTCACGAAGTGGGCGACCCTGTTCATCGAGAACTTGAACAACTGATGCAGTCCTAAGGTACATCAGACTCGGAGTCTCTACCGAGCTATCCCTGAAAATGGAATTATTCGCGGTACCCGGTTGGACAGCTAGAAGGAAGACGACGTCATCTGGACGAAGTGAGTCCCATTCCTTCCGAATGTGATCTGCTAACCTGCCAACTTCAATCGCAATCTCAGCCCTCACAAAAGCTGGGTCTGACGAGCCTACTTTAGGAGGTGCAACTTCGATTATGGCTGGTTTCGAGATGGGAATGGCCATGCGAGAGAAACCATCGAAAGTCAGCGTTTTCCCATCGCGGCTTGATCGAGGCTGCATCCGCTTGATAATCGCTTCCATATCTTTTCGGACCTGGAAGAAAGCTTCGGAACGATACAGCAGGAACGACCGCCAAAGAAAGTCGCCGAGGCTCAGATATTGAAGATTCAGTTTCGGAATGGCAAGCGGTCGAGATCCGTCATAGGTTTCGTTTCGCAAACATGAAGGGTCATAGAGATCTTTCTCAGTGGGCACAATGCTGAGTCGGGATGCGGTCTCTTGGAACGGTACCTTGCGCTCGTAGAACGACAAAAGTATCTCGAGATAGAGATGCCGAGTCGGAATGACCCCGGATTGTTTGGGATAATCTGTCCGAAACCCCAGGTGCACACAGAGACTTTCAAGCTCGGAATCGTTTAGGGCACTCAGTTGCCCTTCCAGTTCTGAGCGTTGCTCAATTGAGCCGTAGTTTGACAGAGCAAGGATCATCAACTTATCCTTGAAGTGTTTCATCGCGGTCCGCTGCAAATGTGCCAGCTCTTGGGAATGGCTCTCATAGATTGCCTGGGGGTCAAGAGGTTCGCCGGTGTAATCGTCGATTGCGAATCCAGAAAAATGGTTAAGAAGCTCAAAAAGGTCGCGGAAGAGAGCATTATCAGGAGAACGGTACATTTGTGAAAGCCGTATAACCGGGAGTAAGTTGAGATCCTTCAACAACGTGTTGACGTAGCGCCGTGTGGGGAGCTGACTCTCCAAGTCCACCAGGTATTCCAGAAATCTCTCACAATAGCGTAGATTATCGGACAATTCCTGCTCGGAGCCATTCAATCGCCGCAAGAAATCCAGAAGCATAGTAAAGAGCCACGATCGCTCGAATCGCATCCTCGCCTTTGCCGTCTCATCTCCAGCTTCGTACCGCTTCCCAGCTGCTCTCCAGGCTTTCTTTAGGGATGGTACCTTAGCAAGGATGCGATCCCTAGTTTCTTCGCTCGAGAGATTGTGCCAGATAGAAATTGAAACGAGAGGTGCGCACTCCTTTCGGATGAGTACGTTCTCCAGAGATTGAAATGCACTGATAATGAAAGACAATATGGATTGGCGGGAGAAGGTAGACAGAGAATTGTCGACGCTCATAGAGAGGATCCGATGGAAAAGGTTGGAGAAGTCGTCGGGCCGGTCAGAGAAGGTCTCTATAGTCCATTAGCTTCTCACAGGTATCACCGGCCTGAAACTACAGGAACGCACCCCATATTGGCAAATGATCTCGCTGCTTAATGCTAACAATCAGCGCAATTAGTAGCACATGGTGATTGGACGCATCTTCCGAATATGTCGGCCACAGATATCTATAGGCTATTAGCTTCAAGGGACGTAAAAGCGTCAGTCACAGTCGCGGTGCGCACTTCTCCAGGATATTCAAATTCTCCAGCGTCAAGAGCGAACGAAGGCTGAAGTTTTCAGCTTCTAAGGGCTCCCATAATTCCTTTTTAATAACATCCTGCTTGGCTTTGCGGACCTTAGAGGTCCCAAGCCAGTGGGTTTTGGCCAGCTGGACCCATGAGCTATCCTCACGGAAGTCCTCCACTGTTGGCCGGGAATCGAGGCCGTGCGCCATAGCCTGACGTGTTTGTAGGCCCATTCCTCGATGTTGAGGGCTGATTCAAAAGTACTGCAGGCGCAGGTCCAATTTGCGCAAGTGGTCCGTCACGGGCGGAAAGGGAAGCTGTTGGCGCGCGTTTAAGCCAAGATGACTTCTTGGCGGCTAGAGACCGCCCGCAGAGCCGCCATTTATCATCCGAAGCTCGCGCCAACCTTACAACCATCCTTTATCCTTTTTCTGTCAAGCTTGCTCTTGGTGACTCTGTAAGGATGTCGGTTGCTGAGCAGGATGCGATGCATGTATACAGAAAACTGGTCGATGATCTCCTGAGCCGTGCAGAACAAATCAAAAAAGATGCGCAAATAGAACCCCCTTTAACAGAATCTCATTTGGGCGAGTCGATATGGGCGATCCAGGGGGAAGAAGAGCGATTGGTGGAACAGCTGAGCCAGCAGACACGGTTTGCGGCA